TAGCATTAAGGTAAAAATTGCGCAAAGCTCCTTTCACGTGAAAGGAATGCATTGGAGGTGACCTGTTGACCTGAAGTGCTGCTTAAAAGCTTAGAAAAGCAATATAAAATTTGTAAAAGATAGTGTGAATAATGTCACTTCAGAAACGAGTTACTGATTAACGGTCCTGCTAGATAAAGCTGGACCTGGGGGTTAAAGTTCTTTTTTTTGACTCTTACTTAGGGGACTGGTAATGGTCTGGTTATTGACATCATATTTTGTTCATTCAAGTGAGAGGTAGATTGTTGAATACTAAATAGTGTGGCTGAAGCTGAACAGAGTTAGCACTGATAAGCTCTGGGTAATTTCTGGCCTTGGAAAATGACTGCAAGCTGCAGAATGCACTCAAGATTCACTAAATACAAGTATTTTTCATGTTTATTTATATATAAAAGAGGCAGGGTTATAATTAAGACCTTGATAGCTGATTTATTTTGTAGGGTGGAGGATAGATGCATTTGCAAAAACTCACCTCGGTGTATTTCAACATTGTCTCTGTTTTTTGTGAGGCACTGGTTTTGTCGGTGCAGTTGGTACCTACTTTTCATTTGCCATGTGTGGCTGTGCATGTGGAAAGCCACGAGTAATAGTGGTAGATGGCTTAACCTAAAGCGTTTTCAGCCACAAAGTGGAAATGACAACTGTTGGGATGCTCACGTTCCATTTCACCAGGTCTAAAAACCAAATAACCTTGGCCTGCCTCCTGCAGCCCTATTACTAGCCAGGTTTCTGCAGTCAGGTCACGGGTGACTGTGCTTTGCCCAAGGTAACCCATTGAGTCAATGCTTTAACACATCCCACCATTGCTCGTGCCGGCCAGCCTCTGCTGCTGGAAGCCAGCTGGGATGTGACAACCACTCATTTCTGGTCACACATTTTATTTATTTGTTACCACTGGGTCAATGAGAATTTTGGGAAGCCAGGAGATGTACTGGGTTTGCTGTATCCTACTACTCTGTCTCTATAAGTAGATGTTTCAATGCAATGAATATCTTCTTGCTTGCTGTACTTCATCTACCTGATGGAAAGCAGCACTTTTCATATAAATTCCCATAGGGTAAAGTTTCATGTGCAAATCAGCTGATTCAACAGGTTGTTTCCAGTAAATGTGGGAGATCTTGTACTCCCTGTTTTCTACTCTTTCCTACTTTGTTCCTAACCTTAGTTGCTGCCTTGGCTGTTCTTAATTCTTGCTCTAGCTTTGTTTGCTCGATTCTGAGCTGATTCAACTCAAACCAATTTTTTTTTTCTTTATGTTAAATTTCTGCTATTTTAGTGCATCAGATTGACTTGCATTGAGATTGAATGAATGTTAATGCTAGTAAATAGGAGTAAAGTGAGAGGGGAAAATGATTTAAAAATTGGCAGATCTCTTTCATAGGTAGCAAGCTGCCATGTCTCCTCTCATTCTGTCATTATCAGAGACGTTTAATGACTTCTTCACCTCTAACTCTGGTGATTGGGCCCTGGGATACCCTGAGTTGGAAGATTGTGACTGTGGGAATGATAAACTCAGGCCAGCTCTGAATTTCTATGGTATTTGCTGCATATAAGTCTATGGGGCCCAATGGGATTTATCCCAGGGTATTCAGAGCTGGCTGATCTCACTAAGAGACCTCTCTCAATTAGTGTCAGCAGTCTTGGGAATGTTGAGAGGTCCCAGTTGGCTTGAAGCTGCCAAATGTCATCCCAGTTTTCAAGAAGAGTAAGAAAGAAGACCCTGGTAATTACAGGCCTGTCGGTTTCACTTCGGTGTCTGGTGAGATTATGCAGAAGGTTATTCTGGGAGTTACTGAAAAACTCTTGGAAGACAGTGCAGTCACTGGTCACATCTGACACAGGTTCATGAGGGGAAAGTCCTGCTTAACAAACTTAATTTCCTTCTATAACAAAGATGACCTTTTACGGTCCTTTTAGACCACCTAGTTGACCAAGGGAAGCCAGTAGATGTAATCCTTGTGGATTTCAGCAAAACTTTTGATACTGTCTTTCGCAGTATCCTTCTGCACAAAATGTCCAGCACACAGCTAGAGAAGTGTGTGATGCGATGGGTGAGCAGTTCTCTGACAGATCTGGCCCAAAGGGTTGTACTATGTGCGGTTACACCAGGCCAGCAGCCAGTCCCTGGTTGGGTTCGCAAGCTCATTTTGGGGCCAGTTCTCTTCAGTATTTTTATAAATGACCCGGGTGCAGGACTGGAATGCATACCGAGCAAGTTTGCAGATGATACTAAATTAGGAGGAGCTGCTGACTCTGTGGAGGTTAGAGAGGCCTTGCAGAGATCTTGGCAAATCAGCGGGCTGGGCAATCACCAGCCACATGAAGGTTAACAAGCACTGGGTTCTGCAGCTGGTGTGGGACAATCCTGGGTGCCACAGGGTAAGGAGGGCACAAAACTGTCAGTGCCCAAAGGAGCGGCTGAGGTCCTGGGTTTGCTCAGCCCCAAGCAGAGCAGGCTGAGGGGAGGCCTCATGGCGGCCTGCAGCTCCCTCACGAGGGGAGCGGAGGGGCAGGCGCTGAGCTCTGCTCTCTGGGGACAGCGACAGGACCCGAGGGAACGGCATGGAGCTGGGACAGGGGAGGGTCAGGCTGGGGGTTAGGGAAAGGGTCTGCACCCAGAGGGTGCTTGGGCACTGGGACAGGCTCCCCAGGGCAGTGGTTGTCATGGCACTGAGTCTGCCAGAGTTCCAGAAGTGTTTGTACAGTGCTCTCAGGCACATGGTCTGATTTTTGGGTGGTCCTTTGTGGAGCCAAGGATTGGACTTGATGATCCTTTTGGGTCCCTTCCAACTCAGGATATTCTGTGATTCTGCAATTAAATGATGTGATTAATAAAACCACACTGTTTAGTGAAAACTGGAGCAGGGTTGAGAAGAGGACCTGGAACTTCTGGTCTCAAGTGCTAACTTCAAAAACTGTGACTTCTGTTTCCATTTCTTGACCTCTTTCTCACCCTATATCAATTCCCTTTTCTTCTACTTATGTTTATTTAAAAAAATGCTTTCCAGTCATTGTAGTTAAAACATTAAACAAATGAAGTGGGATTAACTCTTAGTCAAGGAATCGAGAAATGTTTTCAGAATGAATTAGCGATTGCTCTAGGAAAAAAAAACTGGATTTTTCAGAGCGTAGTGAGATGCTGTTGGGAATAATAAAAAAGAGCAGGGCCAAGTGGCCAGAAGAATAAGAAATGGAGGTCACGTCTGCATTTTCATCAAGGGAAGCACCAAAAGAGACAAGTGAGAAAGCACGTGCATTCCTAAATACAAGGAAGGGTGATGCAAGCCAGTCCAAGATCTGGTTGAGAAATGATGGAGAAATAACTGTGTGGTTATGAGTCAGTAACTGATGTTTTTCTGTTATGGATGGAACTGCTTCAGTATTGCCAAAATCCTAATTTAAGAATTACACAATGTGAAGAATTGTAAATCTCAAGCTGCTCTCATCTTGTTGCTCTTTGTTTGTAGTTGTCACACTTAAGAAGGAAAGTGCTCTTTTAGAAATAAGACTAAAAGGAGGTCTTAATGCTGGTTTTAATACTATTAAAACCAGTAAGAATCACCTTCAGCTTGCTTAACAGCATGTTATGTTCCTATTATTGTACAGGTTTGTCATTGTCATGATATGTTGTTAGTAATACATGCATTTGTAGGATCAGTCAGGCCTTGGACAGTCAGATGACATTTTATGTACAAAGTGTTGACCTGACTGATTTTGTGGCTTTTAGGAGACCATTTGGAGGAAAAAGCTGAATTTCTGTTTCTACCCTGTCTTTACTAACACCGCTTTCAACTCTGAGAAGGCAGCTGGTTTTCTGTAAGATGTTGTTCAGTTGCTTCTGGACTTCTGATGCTGCCTTCTTGGCAGGCAAAATTCAGCTCAAGGATGAGAGTCCTGTTTAAAGAAAGTGTAAAAAACAGAAGCCAGCAACCTTGTGTTTTCAAAATTAGGTTTAAATTCAATGCCAAATTATTTTCCCGTGAAGACTTGCTGTCTCAGCAGAATTCTGCCCTGTACGTGACACGCAAAGGGCAAAAGCCTGAGATTCTGTTTCTGCACGAGTGCTGTTTGTTACTGTTGTCAGCAGTAGTACTAATGTTACTTTGACCAGAACCATCTACATTTCACTTACATCCTCTCTTCATTGCTTCCTTAATTCAAGGTCTTAGTTGGTTCAAGTTTATTCCAGCTGCCTTGCCTAAAGTCCAGATAACTGACCTAAAATCCAAATGTGTGGACTTCTTTTTTTTTTCCTCAAGTTAAATATGTCCTTTAAGGTCAAAGTGATGTTTTGGAGTTTCTCTCCATCAGCGTGGTTACCTATTGAAAGCTGGGTAACGTCGGAGATAAGCTACCAAAGCAGGATCAGGTCACTGTACTTGCCTTTAAGATCCCAGCTGGGTGTAAGGGCAGAGATTTAATGCTTGCAGAGTGATACAGCCCTTGCCAAAAGTCGCCCTAGGAAAATCACATCCAAAAATGGTATTGCAGAGATCTGCATAGTCCCTGGTGCAATGAGATGAGTTCTGACTGTGTTTTGTATGTTATCTATCATGTGTAAAATATTAGGCGGATATTGTAGCAGCAGTAGTCCCTTTCTTTCATCAGTTATCTTCTAGTCACACGTGTGTTTTTTGACAACACAACCTTTTGTCTTCATACTTGATGTGCCATTTACTTTTCTCTTCAGGAACAGCTTTTTAATAGGGATCAATAAGAGACTTCAGAATACAGCAGCAGTGTCTGAACTCTGCAATTGACTTGTATCTATTGGACAGAACAAAATGTTTGATGTATTTTAATAGTTAAAATTGGTTGGTATTAGCGGACAAAGCATGAGTGTTCTGAAGGATCTGAAAGCATTAATTAAAGGAGCATATTTTGGGGGTCATTTTAGGAAGGAATACAATCTATGCAATGACTCTTCTCAGTGTAATGTATTGCTATTGTGATTTTTCTAGGATTCACCTCTGTTTGATCTTATCAAGCAGTCGAAAGAGCGAGAAGGTCAGACTGATCAGCCTGAGCCCGCCTCCACTCTAAATGTGCCTCTCCAACATAACCACACTGCAGCAGACCTGTAAGTGACGTGCACGCTTGGTGTCTAGTGAAATGTACAGCTAATATCTCCCTTAATATTTAAATCCAAGCCCCATCGAACTTGCAATTGCAAACTGTTACCTTGTCTAGGAATAAACAAGTCCCCTTATCAGTAAAATGATTTTGACTTGCGGTTAGTTGGGTTTTGGCTTGAGGTTAGTTAGCAGAGTGAGTGGATGAGTACAAGTTTGGTAAGAGGAGGGGAAGGAGGAGAGAAAGATGATGCAGGTCCTCTGTGCTATCACTAACACATTTCTTTTGCTCCTTGGAGCTGTAGTAAGAAGGAATACAGATCAGTATTTAATTAATAATTTGAATTTTTATTTCTGATATGGGAATAACTGGTTACAGTATTGATTCGTTTAGTCTCATGGGGGGAGAGGGAAGAGTTTGTGCAAGCATTATTCCTTTTAAATTATTCCTTTATCTTGTGCTGTTAAGTGCTTAATAGAATTTAAATCTCCAGGTATCTTTCTCCTGTGAGATCTCCTAAGAAGAAAGCATCTGGACACCCTCACAGTGCTACTTCCAATCCAGATGCTCAGCCAGCTGCAAGCTCTCAATCACAGAAACCACAAAAATCTACCTCCCTCTCTCTGTTCTACAAAAAAGGTTTGTAGCTTCTGTACTTAACGAAGTTACAAAGTTACCTCTGGTCGTTTATCCTTTTCTTGTTTTGGAGCTCAACATTCTTAAGAGGTAATGATAGAAATATGTAGCAAAAGGCCATACAAACCCTTAACGGAACTGCTATTGAAAGAAATAGTAAAATGGTGCCAGCGGGTTAACGAGTGCACTCTACAGACTAAGCTTCAGCTGAAAGCTTATCTACTGTTTGTAAGAATGACCACATTGTCTTCAATGAAGGGTTTGTCTATCATAATATCCCTCTTCCAGCAGTGACCATAAATAAGTGTCACGGAAAGCTTAAGAAATGGGCAAGCTTATGTGATGCTTCCCCTGAATGCTTTTCTAAGCTTTGACTTTTTCCAGCTTGGGGGTTTTCCTGAGCTTTCTGTGATATATCTGCTTAATAACTCTCAGTGGATTCATTTTCTAAATGCTTGTCCAGACCTTTTGAATCGACACGGACATATGTGCAGTATTGTACAGTGTTGACTTCCATGTGTCCACTTCCATTTCTTTTGAACCTAACTAGTTGGTTTGATAGCTCATAGTTCTTACAGTGGGAGATGGTAAACACTTAATTGCTGTCCATCCTCCATCATGTTCTTCTTATTTTGTATACCCCTATTATTACCATTTCAGTTTATTTTTCTTTTCTGTCCCTCAAGTGTATCTACTGGCCTATAATCGATTACATACCCTGTTCTTTCGGCTTCTCTCTGAACATCCTGACCTGGAACACTTGATCTGGACCCTCTTCCAGCACACGCTGCAAAATGAATATGAGCTTATGAGAGACAGACACTTGGACCAGGTAACACTAAAAAAAAAAGAGTTTCAAAAGGCTTTCCTGCACAAAATGTTCCTTATGCATTCTTTAACTGCTAAAAATTATGATCTGAGCTTTTATTTCCTTATTGATCACTCACAGCAGAAATTACCCACTTAGTGAAGTCTATTTTTGATCTTCTCAGGTTTGTTTCTAAGTACTGTGAAATGCTCAAAATACCATTTATGGCTATTTTCAAAATAATGAACAGAGAGCAAATTTACTATTAATTTGTGTAAGAAAATACTGGTTTTCTTTGGGAAGACAAAATATTTGACTAATCCTTGTTTTGCTATTGGACCCTAAAGTTCCAGTCTGTGAAATGGGTTTGAAAAGGTATTGCCAGCTGCAATTAGTTAATTGTCCTACAGAAATGGAGGGAACAGTAGTTGATGTTTTCTGAAAGTTACTATGAAGGTGAATAGCACGGCTGACTTTCAGAGCCACAGTCAGTAACAGAAGGCTTCTAAACTGAGCTTTTGCTTTTGTTTATTTCAAGAACAGCCATTAGGAAAGTTTCAAAGTCAATAGCAAAGCTTCTTTTGCTCTCGCTGAAGCTAGAATTGCTTTCTGTTTTAAAAACATGAAAGCACAGAAGAGTATCACAGAAAAATTAGGATTTCAAAAGTTGAAATGAAAAGCCCAAATTAATTTGCTGCATTTTGAGTTGTTTTTTTTTTTTTTCCTTGTTTCTTTAATAGATCATGATGTGTTCCATGTATGGCATATGCAAAGTAAAAAATGTGGATCTTAGATTTAAGATAATAGTTTCAGCGTACAAGGAGCTTCCCAATACAAACCAAGAGGTATGGAAATTCTTTAATATGATATACAATATGATAAACAAATTTTTTACTTGTTTTTCTCTGTCTAAAATGAAAAACCAGGCATACAAATGTTTATGTTCAGTACAAACTCTCCAAATGCTTAATTTTATCTTAATTTGGGGGATGAGAAAACTAGCTCTAATACTAAATGTTTCTTTAAACGTCTTGCACAGGTAGGTTAGTAGTTCTCAGAAGGCAATTCAAGATACTAAATAACAGTTTATGGTTCTATTTGGAGACGAAATGGAAGATTCAGATGCAGTACTAACAGGATTTTTCAAAAACAACCCAAGTTGCTTTAGATTTACCTAACTTCCATTGACTGTTGAGGGGAGATAGATTACTTTCTGTAGATATTTCCACTAAAAATGTGGTTATATTTCAAATAGGTAAGTGTAGGGAGGCCTATTAAAGTTACAGGCTCAATTCTAACATAAAAAGTTGCTTCAGTAGAAAAAAAACAGTTCTTTGAACTGTAAGCATCCTATTAGTAGCAGAATTTCTCAGTGTGTCTTGGCTAAATCCCTGAGCTTTATCTGAAGAATTGTTTTATCCGTGTCAGGTGAGAAATGAAGAGTTTTTCAGCCTTGATCCTAGTAGCAAAAGTAGCAAAGCCTTGTTTTTTAATGACAATTGGATGTGTGAAAGTAAATGGAGCTTAAATTTGGAAAACATTGTTAATCAGTACTATAACAATGTTCACAGTAAAGAAAGGGATGTGCTGCTTAATTAAGGAGGAACCTCTACTGATGTTCATCTGTATTTGGAAAAAAAACAGTTCGAAATAGTAGTTAACAAAGGCTGGTACCTGACACATGCCACAAAGTTTATGAATGGCGTTACGAGTTTGTCAAATGTAATTTTTTTTCCTTTTTTCTTTTTGTCGTGTATGGCTTTCTCACCCTACGCAGACCTTCAAACGTGTTCTTATCAGGGAGGAACAGTACGACTCCATTATAGTCTTCTACAACTTGGTGTTTATGCAGAAGCTGAAAACGAACATTTTGCAGTATGCCTCCAACAGGGTAAGGCCGTTAGCTGTGTTCAGTATTGCTTATTTAACAGAATAGGAATATATAGACACTAAAACATTATTATTTTATTATTTTTTAGCCTCCTACTCTGTCACCTATCCCACACGCTCCTCGCAGCCCTTACCAGTTTTCCACTTCTCCTCGGCGTGTCCCTGCTGGCAATAACATCTACATCTCGCCCTTGAAGAGCCCATACAAATTCTCTGATGGGTTTCAGTCTCCCACAAAGATGACTCCGAGGTCTCGGTATGTTGGTTGCAACTATTTCTTTGAGCCAAGTGGAGTTGTTGGGACTCCAGAGAACTGCACGCTGTAGTTTATCAAGATAATTTGATTAGCAAACATCTGAAGGTTTTCTAATTAAGGGATGATCATCAGGTACTCAGCACTGAAATGTCCTCCTGTTGATAGGGGATGGGCTGCCAGGCCTTAGATTCTTTCAGGCCACAGTTTCTAGTTGATTATCTGTATGGGACGGTTGGTTTGGCGATTGAGTTTTCACTGGCCCTAATGGAAACATGAATGATCGGAACACGGCAAAGCGCGGGATGGGTTTGCACTTTTGGCACAGGGAGGAAGAGAGCTCGTTAGTGTCTTATGCGAAGCTGTTTAAATTAATGGTTCTTTTTGTGTCTCATTCTGGAATGTCACTTAATCTGAAACACTTGTTTTCTTCATTTGGCAGAATTCTGGTGTCCATCGGAGAGTCGTTTGGGGTGAGTTTTACAATTTTTGTCTGATCTGGAATGCGTGTAACTTTGGGAGGAATGAAAGAGCCTCCTGACAGCTGTAGAACCAGCCAGTGTTTCTAATTTAATGTAGTAATTCATGGAATTTGTAAGCACAAGGATTACAGGGGGTGTACTATTAACCTTTTCTCAAATATTCAGACTTTACCTTCTTTCACAATGACTAAAATCAAATGCAAAACATTTTAAAAGCAGAGTTCTTAGGCTGCAGCTTTAGAACTTGCAATATTGTAGTGGATAATCTGGGAATTTCGAGTAGTTGCAGGATTTATTGGTGATTCTTTCGCTATTTTTGTGTCATTTCAGACTTCTGAAAAGTTTCAAAAAATAAACCAGATGGTGTGCAACAGTGAGAGACAGCTGAAGCGCGGTGCCGAAGTGAGCGACGCTCCTAAGCCACTAAAGAGGCTGCGCTTTGATATAGAAGGGCAAGATGAAGCAGATGGGAGGTAAGAGATTGTTCTTGGACTTCTGGTAAACTGAACCAAACGATGTTTGGTTCTCAGGGCCTTCAGAATGCAGCCCCATGTCTATATATAGTTGTGGAAGTTGAAAAATTTTAAGTGAGAGCTGGAAGCATAATATTTAATAGGACACTTGGTGTCATGATGTCAAAAGCAAGGATTTATTCAGTGCCTGTACATTCAGCATCCTGGTATTTCTGCTGAGTGCTAAATCTAAATCATGCTGTTGTCCTCAGTGTTGAAATCAATCACCTCTTGAGTTTATTTTGGAAGAAAAAATAGCATATCTTTGTAAAATAAGGCAATAGCACTGAAATTAATTAATACTGATTTACAGTTAGGTTTATCAGGATAAAAAATATATATTTTTTTTAACATCTCTTTACTCAAATGCTTTCTGTCTGCAGTAAACACCTACCCCAGGAGTCCAAGTTCCAACAAAAGCTTGCAGAAATGAGTGAGTATTATTTTTTCAGTAACTTGTCAGCAGTGACTGCCTTGCATAAAATAGTTTGTGTCAACTCAGATAAAAACATTGTTCAACACTGATAGCATTTCCGTGCTTGCTCTTTTTATATTTGCTACACCTAATCTTAAAAAATGGAGATGATTAAATGAAAAAAGGCTCTTTTCTATGGCACTATGCTATTTAATATCATCAAATGCTATTGCATGGGAGTAAGAAAAGGAGCATGACTTGGTCTTCCTAAATATTAGAATTTTTGAAGTGGAATTAAATGTTTGCCAAGGCTTTCCTGTTTGTTGTAATGACAGATCCTTTACTGAGAGCATGCAGGTAGAAATCAGTAGTAATTGCAACGGCATTAGTTGACCAGAACACCTTTTTAGGCCATTGCAGTATAGTCGAGGAAAATTGTACATAATTTTGTGTGTTGCTTTTATACTTGAATGCCTAAGACTGCTTTTCTTCTACTGCAGATCAACCTTTCTTTCAATTTTTTAAATGTTTTTCAAATAAAATTCAAAATCTAGCTTATGAAATACAAAGCAGCTCCATTTCTACATCTGAGTTTGTATTTTCCACTCCTGAGAAGGAGCGCTCTTGGTTTGGCCAGACATTGACCTCTCTGGTAGAATCCCCGAGCTGTGCAGCTGAGCGGATTTGCCTGTTAAAAATTCTTCCCTAGGTGGTATTGCTCCTCAGGACAGGGGTGACTGCAGAACCAGGCACCTCTCGTTTATTTTAGGGTAGGGGAAATGCTTCAGTGTTTACCTGTGGCAGAAGTTAAGAGGGGCTGCTCTGTTCCATGGCCAGCTGTGTTCGTATGTCAGTGGGGGAAAAGGGAATTTGCTACAGTGGGCTGGGATGTGGGGGTCGTGTAACCCATTCCGTCTGTCTGGTGACAAGGCAGAGCCCTACATGGAGCAGTCCATTTCCTCGTCCTAAGGATGAAGACTGACGAAAGTGAGGATACAACAGCCATGAGAACTTCCCTAAAAGGGTGGAGTTCTGTAAGGCAGGTGAAATAAACTGAGCAAGAATTGCTGAAATAACATTTTGCATTTCTTTTAAAGTGCGGGTTTTGTTACTTAGTGTGCTTCTATGTGCATCATTACCAGTTTTTACAATAAATAATCCCATCCAAAATAATTCTGAAGGAAGGAGCCAATTTCATTCTTTCTTCTTTTGTAGCATCCACTCGAACAAGAATGCAGAAGCAGAAACTCAACGATGGAAACGATACCTCAGCCAGTGAAGAAAAGTGAGATTCTTCTCAGGACCAGGGTCTGCGCTGCAGGCCCTCTTAGATTGTTTCTGTTTTACAGCCTTCATTAATTGAGTTGCTTTTTTAGTCGCTTTTTATTCCAAACTGCTAGTTGAAAACATTTGGACTTTTTTATTTTTTAAATATTTTTCATGATACTTTTGCCTTATGATGTAGCATGTATCCGATGTAAGCCACTGAATTTAATTTATATATATTTTTTTGAGGATTTTAAAAACAGACTTGGAAAATGCCTTAGTTTCCTATTGCGACATTACTGATTTAAGCCAGTTCAGTCTCCTTGGATTGAATTTTTCTGTCTAAAGGCGAAATGTTAGCTAGAATGTTTTGAAGTGCACTAATTTTTGTTACTTAGATTTCTTTTTATTATTGGAACTCGAAGCATTATTTGCAAATTTTGAAAATTAGGGGCCAGACACTGCAAAGATTTGACTCTGTATATAATTAGTAAATCAAATTCCCATTAACTTAAGCTGCACAGCAGTCTTGCAGGGTCAGGATCTCACTGCAGAAGTAGAACCAGAAAGCAAAGTGAACTCATTATGTAGCTGTACTACTGAAACCAGTAATCCATACCTCAGATCCAGAATGTTTTGCATTTTTCCTGTCCCAGCCCTCACTCCGCTCCTTCAGAGGGCACTGCCCATCTGTCCAGTTTGAATTTTACTGAATGTGAATTTCACATTAAATGAGTCCCAGAAACCAAGACTTATTCCCAGATGCAAAGTACTTGATTTGCTCTTTCATATCTTGGAAAATCTCAATTAAAACAAAAAGCACTACAGGCCTACGTCGCGCCTGGTACACCTAAGTTATCAGTGATGTGGGATTTTCTTGGAGTGATTTCAGATTTTCGTCTAACTGTAGCCAAACCCAGTAAGTTGAAAAACAGGCTCAAAAGCTATTTCCCACAGCTGAAAGCTGTGTCAGAAGTTGGGCTCCCGGTAAGAGTAGATAACCTGCTAGCTAAAAGTGCAGCGTGTCTCCCGTTGGCAGCATCTGCACCAATCCAGATTTCATGACCTCAAAAAGGCAGAATTTAATAGGCAACTTGTGAACAGTTACAAGTAGCCAAAAGAAAATTGTTTTTTACAATGTATTTGTAAATTACTGATTTGGATACTGGATTTTTTCTTGCAATGATAAAGGGATTGCAAAATAGCCAGTTAATGAAAGCCTCTTTCATTTCCTAGTAGAAATAAGAAGAAATATGAAATGATACTTTTACAGAAGTAAATGAGATCCCGCTTTTAAATTACCCATTTTTTAATGAAATGTAGCCTTTGCAGCTACTTAAACTAATACAGTTATAGTAGAAAAGCTGTTCCTTACACAGTAATAACTTAAAACATCTCTGGGTAGCTTATTTAGAGATTGCATAGCTGAACCTAGAGTCCTTACAGTAGTACATTTTAAAGATCAGTTCTGGTGTTGATCAGAAGCTAACCCTAGAGCTACTAAAAATGCTGCAAACAGCACCCTTGATTTGTCACTGAATTTTGAAATAAAATGGAGTTATTTTTTTAGTCTCAATACGGCTTCGACTTTCTTCCCGAAAGATGTACAGAAGCGTTAAGAGTACCCTACGTTTATTTTTCCACTTTTTGCAGTTTTGCAAGCAGAACGCGTGTTGCTTTGGGGCCGCTATCCCTCAGTTCTGTTACAGCAGTCCAAGTTCCTCGGTGCTCCTTTGGCGAATCCCCTGGGGTAACATTACAGAGCCCAGTACCAAACAGATCTCGTATTTCTTTACTGTGACAATGTATTTTTTTGCTCAAACAGACTGAAGGCTTTACATCAAATGTATGATAATATTTTATACAACTAATCAGTTTCTCTCCTTTCAAGATAAATAAAATAGCTTTTCAAAGACGTATAGTTGGTAATTTTATTAGACGAGGAGAGGGCTTTGCATGGCACAGCCCTTGCAGGGGTGCCTGAGGCAGTCCTTGGAGCAGTTCCTGTCTGCACTGAGAAGCCTTTGTGCCGCTGCACCGCCCTGCTTTTCACCACCGATTCTCTTCTCAGAACTGCTGAAAATAGCCCAGGATGTCAAAACAGGAGCGTGAGCTGTCATCGCTTCCTCAGCCAGGTGTCCAGCTGCAGGCACTTCAGCCGTGCACGCTTCCTGTCTTTGCCTTACCAGAGTGGATGGGTGCCGGTGAGTCAGAGCTCTGGGGGGCTATTTACAGAACTGACACGCATGACATAATGCCGAGAGCACACAAGTGCACTTGCAAACTTGCCAGTCTCTAAAAACATCTTCTTGTGCAGATACACACGCAGAAAGGCATATTCCAACTAGCAGCTTCTTAGCAGATTTTGAAATCTGCTTCAGAAGCAATTCTTGGTGGTCTGAAGCAGTTTTATTAATCATTTAATCACTAGGGCATTAATTTGAAAGGTGGAAACTGCTGCAGATTCTCCAGCCCTCTTGCTTTGCAGGCTCAGTTTTCATTCTGCTTACCCTTGCTTTATCTGGTGGCAGTTATTTTCCTTAAAAACACAAATGGTCTTCCAATTTAATCTCCCTCTGAAATAGCATCTTTATTTTATTTCTTCTTTTCCCACGTTACTAACTACGTAGCCACCTCAGCTTATAAATCTGAGCAAACGTTATGTCAAACTTTCTTCTCTTCTGATGAAAAGAAAGAAAAAAATCCCACTCGCACTTTTAAATACTATGACATTTTTATTAATGGTCTGTTAAAACCAGGCAAGTTTATTAAGAAACAAGTAATCAAAACATTTTTATGTTCAGGCTGTGAACTTTCTACATCGTTAGGTGGTACCCAGCGAGTCCTGTCTCTACAGAGTAATTAAATGCTTTGTTTTACAAGGAAAGCACATGGAAATTACTCAGATAACATAAAAACAGCACTTTACAGAGTTACCAGGTATAACAGAACTACTAAATGGCATCGCAGTGCTAACTCTTTAATTTCAGTAATGTAACTTTTAAGCGATCCTATTCCTGTCCTATCATCTCTTCCCAATTCCACTTGATTCAGAAAGTGATCCACCTGCGTTTCCCTTTCTGAGCAGTTGAAGATCTCTCTTAGTTTCAACCCCAGGCACGTTTTATGCAGGACCACATTTTCACATAACAAATACCTTTTTTTGTTTGTGGTGTCCCATAAAAAGACCTAGACCCACCCCTTTATTAAGTACTTAACCTCCAAGATCCACAATGTATGTCTTTTGCAGACAATCGTACAATGGTAAAATGCATCCTTAATTTCTTCTAAAGCATCCCATGATTGGCTTTCAAGCACATTTATGCACAAGCGTCCAAATTTAACCACTTAAGCCAGTTTGTTTCTTTAAACACTGACCTGTAAGTGCCAAGGAAAGTGCATGCAAATGAGGGTTAACAAATAAATAAATAAACATCTCTATGAATAAAGTACTGTCACATCCAGGTCAAATGATACACACTGCCTGAATAAAAGCCAACACGGACACAGGAGATCTTTAGGATCACGTTCTCTCAGTCCGGAGATGCTTCCTCTCAAAATTACAGGCTTTGGCAGCTGTTCTGAAACTACAGCTAAGCTTTAATGTGTACGGGACGTGGAAAATGATGAGCAGGAGGAAAATGAATTGGGAAAAAAAAAAACAAACAACACAAGAACAACCAAAGGCACGATTGGTCCGATTAAGCCAAAAAAATGCATCGCTGAGGAAACACCACTTTGACTGCAGTAGTTTCTGTCTGGGCCTCTCAGGATGTTGAACACTGCGTTATGAGCCTGAGCCAGCACAGGGGCGTGGTGGTGCTAACTCTGGAGAGTGGGATCCCCGGGGAGCCAGGCTCTTCGTTGAGCAGAGAATGGCTTCGATCAGGTGTTGAATAATAAATAAATAAAATGGAGAGTTCATTTTGCCAGTTTGGGCTCATGAAGTAAAACAACGGGACTATTTGGAGAGACTTTTATCGTACATTTTTTGAACTCATCATTTCGTAACTACCCAGGCGGGTCTCGGGCCCTGGGGTGAGGGGGGACAAAGGCTTCACCCCATCCATTCCTGACTCAGCCAAAATGTTTGGAATTCCCCAGCCTCAGCTCATGTGGCATTGCCTTGTATCTGTGCTCTTGATATCAGTAATGCTGGGCAAAGATGTTTTAACCAAAACCCACGAGGTTTGCAGTAAACTTGTGCCCCGATCTGAATGTTATTTTATCTGTGTGCCTGCATCAAGTGCCCTTCAACACACAATTATCGAAACAGATCTACCCCCCCCAGAGGGAAGCTGTGGTTTTGATGAAACTGCATTATGTACTGCAAAGTTTTGCCCAGTTCTGTTTGAATATAAAATAGCGACAGAGCTGCTGAAGGATGCAGTTACGCTGCTGGACAAAGCTGTATGATCAAGGGACAGGGAAAAAAAGAGTGGTAGCAGTAGATAATCCAGTATCTTTCTAGTGACGGTTTGAAAACGGAAGTGATTTTTGTTTGTTAACCAGAGCATTTTTCCAAATTAATTTGCTTACAGCCCTCTTCCTATGTAAATTTTGCTGACTGCACGCCTCCCCAGAGCCTGATGTGAAAAGGGGAACTACTCGCTCCTCTGCCTCTTCTCTCCAGACTTGCTGCTCCTCTTCCTCCTCCTCAAGGAATACAATTGCTTGAGAAATAATAACCTGACATAATGAAGGACAGCAGAAATGATGAAATGAAGCTGAGCTCAGTTAAGGGAATTAAATGTGGTTCTTGGAAACCACACATGAGGATAAGAGTAAGTCAGCAAAGGCTTCTGTGTGAGAGCAAGGTCTGAGTGAAGGTTGCACAACATCTATCAGTGCACTGAGCCTAGACAGCCAGCTGCTGGCCTGCTGCATTTGTAAGATGCCACAAAAGGCCCTTAAAGCCACTTCACACGGTCTTTTAAGAGAAATAATTCCTCAAGAGTTAATTTACAGTTGCCTGTTAAACAATTGTAACTGCTTCATGAGCTCAGCGTCTTCTGTAAAGGGGCAGCCCTGCTCTGCGTAACACGAAGTGGGATTTCATCTTTGCTCACTGCAGGCAGCGAGGAATCAGGTGCCTGCTCCATGTGAGCCATCCCGTCACCCTCACAGGTCAGTGATACGAGAGGCACGTCCAGAGGGCAACTCCTCTCACCTAAAACACCATGTAATGCAGCAGCGTGGTCACCCCGAGAGACCAGTGGAGAACCTACGACAATGTATTTGAACAAAGTGTCCCAGTCAGAAAATAGCCTGAGTCTCACTTCCATGATTTCATCGTAAGACTAATTTTTTTTTCACTTTATAATTATCTTCTTTCTTTCTCCACTTTTAGTAAAATGATCTGTCTGGAGACAGGCACTAAGACAAGAATAAACAAACAAACCTCAAGTGGAACTTCCCTTTCCTGGAGATTTCATTCGGGTTTCTTTTTCTTAGTAACGAGCAAGCAGATGTTTTTCAGAGTGCTCGGAAACACTCCAAAATCAGTAATTTGTGTCCAGACTGATACTACTGAATGTTCACTGCCCCACTGGGCTGCCAGGGAATGTGCTTGGTGTAAAGGAGAGGAAGGGTTTTGTCATTGTCTAGAACAATGGGCATAACTACCAGGAACTATATCCTGTGATATCCAGCTGAAGCTCTTCATGGTTTAAGTATTTACACTCTAAATGAACGTGTAGCAAGACAAAAGCTCCTGCCAATCTAAAGCCTCTCCTCTCAACAAAATGCATGTTACTTTGTCACGTATTTGGAAAAACAAGTTTGTATCTTCACTGAATGATAAACCAGGCACAAAGAAGCCCACTATGGCATAATAACTTAGTTTGGTGATAGTAGTACACTAGAGAAGTTTTAGCAGCAAACGTGTCACTGCCCCTTAAAATCCAGATACAAAAAACAAAAGGCAAATAATCAAAATAGGCGAGATAATGACAGCTTAGTTTGCTTACGCGGGCAAAGGAAGTTACTGTATTAGATTTTGCTGTCGAATTCTGGCCGTTGCCAGTGAACTCTCCCTATACATCTCTGCTGGAAGGCAGCTTTCCACAAGCTGTACGTTAGCAGACTTCGAGACACTTCCAAAGCTGGTGGACACCAAGTCTTTGTTTCCACACCTCTGCACATTCTGACCATGGGTAAGTTCTCCAAGGAGAAGTGTTTCCAGGAGGGAAGAGGATGTGCTCTTCAGCTCGGTGGTGCTCGGGTCTCAGTTTCGGAATGCTCCCACTCTGCTTGCTTTGCTAATGAAGTTCTTCAGGAGATCATGGTCCATTTCTGCAAAGCCTTGCGTTTGTGTAACAACAGTCAAATGATTTATGCAAAATCTGAAGCAAAATTCTTCCAAGTCCTAGGAACAGATTGAGTTCATTTGTAATTTGAACAACCGACAGCAACATTATCATCATTATTTTCCTGTTTCAAATCCATAATTTAATTAGCAGACAATGTACCAGGTTTCTCACATTACCAATCCCTTTTGTTGATCAGCTTCATTAGGTCATAAATGATAGGATGAAATTTGTCAATATAAACTATTCAATAACCCCCTCTGAAAAAAATAAACACAAAAACCAAGAGCAGCCACCTAAATTGACTCTAGGACTCTGTCATAGTTACTGAGCTCATTAGAAAGGGTTATTAGTAAATGACACCATCAGCTTTCCCTGCATACATCTAGAGCATCAGTGACTCCTTCCTGCACTGAATTCAGTGGTGGTCCTGTGAAAACCAACAGATATCCCAGTCTTTCTGAAAATAAAAGCAAAAAAGTGATATAACAGAGAAAGCGTTTAGGAATTGAGATCCCTAGATAGCTGTTGCTCACTGAACACAACTATATATTAGGATCTGTGTGCCTTTTGTGGTCAGCTTTGGAGTTTTACGTCCCCCTCCAGGTACTGGGATTCCCAGACAGCAGAAATGTTCTGTCTTACCACGGTCCTGCTGTAGAAAGACGTTCAGATATTCAGGACAAGATGGGTACGAGCCATTAAGCCATAGGACCGTGGTTTTACTCCTCAAATTTTGTCCACTTGGACTGCTCACAACAGTGACAATCCTTCTCTCCACCTACTGGGTCAGTTGGTTACCTGAGGAAACCTCAGCTGGTAACAACTTGCTGCTGAAGGAAAATGAATCACCTTCTGCAGCAAGCACAGCTGGGAACAGCCGCAAGGCAAACCTAAATGGTGGTATAATCCATGAGCTATAAACTCGTGGAAGTTAAGAGCAAAAAGAGGGCTTTTAATCCACGCCAATTTTATTCTATGTAATCTACACAAACTTTGCAGCTTGTACAAAGAAATGTAGCAGAGCACTGGTGCATTTCCCTTGGAAACCTTTTCCTTAGACTGAAACTTCAAGTCTGGGCCTTTTCCAAGACGTAACTAAAGCTTTGACAGAGGACACAGCAAGAAAAGGGGTGAGAAAAGAAAAAAAAGTGTAGAACAAAGACCAAAGTCACCAACAGCTCCGAATTCAGTACACCTCTAGAGTGCTGCTGCCATTATCTGGGTAATCAGCTGTTGCTTTACAGTCAGTGTGCAAACTTCCACATTAAAATAAAGTGAACAGCAGCTGCATTTCTGGTACTGGTTGAAGAAGGTGACCACGATATCAGAGAATTCTAGTGAATTATTTCTCAATTTCAAGAAACGCTATCTTTCTAACTAATTCTGTTATATCGAAGATGATCAACCTAAAATTTTCCACATTGTGCATTAGAAATAAACCTAAAATATTTTGTAGCAGATGACCTTTGTACTTCCTGAGGATAGAATAAAATATTATCAAGAATTTTTAATCCTACCAGACGCGTACAATAGCCAAGCAAGTCTTCAGTTAATGTTCTTGCTGACGGCAGATAAGCACAGCACTGTAATCTGTCACTTGCAGTGTTCACACTGATGACCAAAAAAAAAAAAAACCACACCCAAAATCAAAAACCCCAAGCCCACAAAAAGGACTAATTCTCCCTTTCCAAACATCCAAGCTATCAGGCCCTTTTTTATAATCCTTCTTTGGACGGTTTGTGACTGAAGCGCCAACACACTGCAGACGGTTCTCAAACCCATGTTGACTATATAAGTCCCCTGACTTACTTCACAACGCCCTAGAGAGAGGTTATTCCCTACAAAGAAGGCTGTACAGCACTTCTCTGAAGCAGTTCTCCTCTATCCCTTTCTGAGACGTGGATGTAGGGAGGAGGACAGCCACCTACTCCTGTACCTGCTGCGCGAGGGGCGGGTAAACCAATTCACTGGCTGATGACTGTGTTAAAATATCACACATGTTTTAAAACAATACAGTATGCAGAATAAAACACTGAATCACAGGAGGAAGAGGAGGATAGCATATAGATAGTCATCTGGCCAATGTCATTTATTGTTTTGCTGACAAAACTCTAGTACTTTGTCCAGGCTAGTTTCACTACTTCCCAGTAAACCTAAATACATTTGCAATTACTCCACCTGACACAGGTCAACTAAAGCTACTTCAATTTTTGAGGTGTTCCAAACTGGTGAGAAGTTTCTAGGAAGAGAAACTCCAGAATAAACTTGTACTGAGAATTTCTGCTCTTAGGAGAATGAAATCACTCAGTCCTCCTCTCCTCTCCAGCTTCTCCCGTTACTCGGGGCTTCTACCTCCACAACACGTCGAAACCACAATTCCTCTCTTTTTGCCTCAGTTGTTCATGCCTTCCAGTACTGATTATTAGTCTTGATGCTTTGGTTAAGTCTGACTTCATCTCTCTACCAGCAGCTGTTAATCTCATCATCCACTAACCTGATGTTATCCCCTTTTCGTTTACAAAACTCACTGTAAACTTCCAGCCTCCTCTTTGCAAGCCCGACATGGATTTATCTCATTTACTAATGCCATACAGCACAGGTTACTGCAACATTTCTAACTCAGTTTTTGTTTCAGTTCCTTCTCTCTACTTGCTTCCTATGCCTCGAACCATCTCTCAATGCATCTTATTTTAAGCATCTGCATCTCACAACCACGTAAAAGCAAAAGGAAAATGTATAATTCAAAAAATAATGTTACCAACTATGTATTTTGGCTCTTCTGAAAGGTCAAATTCTCTGTTTGGCTATCTTAGTTTATTGCTGTACAGCAGAAGAAACCTTGAACAGAAAGATCAGGACTGCTCCACAGCCAACTAAACTGCTCAGGTTTTAACAATTGCTTTAAGTCTAAAATAGACACGTGGATTTCTTGACTAACAAAACCCACCACATCATCATTTCCACGGTCAGCATAGCATTAAGAAGCTGAGAAAAGCAAAACATCTTTCAAAATATTTGTCTGTTTGGAAATAAAGTGCTGGCAGTACTGCTGATGACAGGTTGAGTGCCAGTGAAACATTCCAGAGCCAAGGGCAGACCAGAGGACAGGATACGGAGAGGAGTTAACAGTGGGTAATTTGTGGCATGACAGCACAATTCTCTGTAAGTAACGCAGTGAAAAATGGGTTTTTGATACAAGCACAAGCATAAACAGGGAAGGACTTCACAGGTAAATTGTCCCACTGTTTGTACAGGGTGGTGCCAGGATGACTGTACCAGCTACAAACAGACAAAACGAGCAGGTGGAGAACGCAAAGGTGGAGAAGTGAAAAATGTGCTCGCCATGCAGTGCTGCACGAGCAGGCAGCAAGCAGGTTAAGGATCCTGACTCACAGGTGCAAATCAACAGGTCAGGAAGGTATCGCTGGTAGCTGCAGTTTTTATAGGTTAAATAAAGCAAAACACGTCTGGGAAGTCAGAACGGGCAATTGCAAGTAATCGTGACTCATACATTAAATGCAGTTAGGTTTATATTGTAACAGTTTCATTTCTGAGAAAGGAACTGTTTGCCTGAAGAGAAGTTCCCCCTACCTGAGCTTCATACTTGACAGCGGCAGACAGAAGAGCAATCGCGTTCTCTTCACAAATGCCTTGTTTGATTGTTTGCTGGCAGAGCTTTTTCAATCGGTTTTCTCTATAGAGTGTTGCCAAATCTAGCAGTCCTGCGAAAAGTCATACATCTTTAGCTATCCTGGTGCAAAAAAATATACATTTCTATTCAAATTAATCAATTACTTTATAGTTTTAAGCTCAATTGATCAGACTTATTCTATTTTGCCCCCTGGTGATCATGTGCCTTTTTAAAGGTCTTTGAATGACATATCTAAAAGGGACACTTGTAAGAACAAGACAGTTTTTCAGATCAGAAGCAATGAATTCTTTCTGAATGTTAGCTTTGGATCTTATTCCTTCCCCCCACTCATTCTCCTTGAGCATGTCTCCAGCTGCTCCTTCCTGTCACTTGCCTAACAGAAGATGGAAATGCTAGAAAAACAAAAATTAACAAGCCCTGCTTTCCTCATCCTGTTAGGAGGCACAAATCAACTTCTCAGAAACAGTAACCCTGAGTTCCATTTATGGCCAATACCTATTGCATCTTCAGGAGGGAGCCTAATACTGTCTGTATACAGGTATTCCAGGAAGGCTCGGTAAACGGGATAAGAAAATTCACTCATTTCTATAATTTCATCATCATTATTCAGTATGGATCGAAAATGTTCACACCTACAAAACAAGAACAACAATTGTTACTGTAAAGAGTTAAGATGAACGGCAGTAAAATGTTGGTAAACAAACAAACAAAAAGCAGTCAAAACAGACCAAGTACACAACCATAGACTTTAGCTATATTTCTTGGTTTGAATATGTTAATTTACAGCTTTCTACATAATTCAGGATTTTTTTTTTAATTTGTTGTTATTATTTTATAGCAGGCTCCCTTTCTATTTATAATATCTTTAGGGATGTTCCATGTATTTCTGAAGTCCTTTTCTTAAAGTTGTGTATGAACTATTAATTTGATTACCTGGCTTGTAACAGGTAAAGTTTAAATTACATTAGACAATTCTCACATTTCAACCTGCCTTCTCCAACATGATCTAGTGAGGAGGGAAAAGAAGTTGTCAGTACTTTAGATACGACTCTTTCATCCCATATGCCACTTTATTTCCGAATGTTACACATCAGAATATGCTTTTCTTTTAAAGCAAAAGGGAGTTTGTACAAAGTCAAGATTTTCAAGCAGTAATTACTCAGCACAGTGGACGTAACTACATTGTTTAGTTTGTGGTAAAGTATACAGTTTGTGCCTTACCTAATTTTGAGAAGAACTTTATGGACGTGGATGTATTTTCCATCCACTAGAAACTTCAGGTCTGCAGTTTCAGGGTTGTCAAATTCCTTCTTCAGTGACTGGGCTACTGTTAGATGGTCGTCAGGCTCTATGACAAAAAGGGTAATTGATAGTGAGTGGTAATACTGATATCACTCATGATAACATCCTGTGGATCTGTCAGCAATTAACATTCTTAATAGAATTTTTCTGTGAGGCTAGTAAAAACTAACCAAACATAAAAACATACTCAGTATAAACATCTAGGAAAGCAAATAAGGGGCAGCTTTCAGTCCTTACTGGTTTCCTGTTCCAAACAAATATGCTTCAGACACAAAAAGCACGTCCCACTCCTCAGCCTCATCTGTACAAGGCCAGAAAAAAATAATTTAATAGTCTTAGAAGTTTAACACTGTGTCTGATAGCAAATGCTATCAGTTGTTACTGGCTAAATTATTCCAAATAAAGGGTGTTGCTTATTATAAGATGCCCCAAAAGTCAATAAAGCTCAGAGTAAGATTATCTGAAATAGTCACATGAGGAGACATTATCTAAAAGCAGAAGAAGACCAGATATGAAACTGTCCAGTACAATACCCTTAAAGGTAAATACCAGCAGTTACCAGCCTATTCAGTGTTCTCCCTTGAGTTATGGTATTAGGAAAAATTCTTTGTATCCCTGTCTCTATATTCCTGTGTGCCTCATATGTATGTACATCCCACTGTGCATATGACACTTGCATTATAAAGTTAACAGGCAGCCTTGAAAACTGTCTCCACAGAAAGGACAATAATTACAAAAGTGCTTTGGATTACAGATGAAAGGATGAGGGAAAAAAAAGCAAGGAAACTGCAGTAAAAATCCTTCTAAGATTATCATACTGCAAAACTACTGTTACTTCTTTTGTGTGATGTGGTTTCAGACCTCTGCTACCGAGTACAGGGATTTTAACAACCCAGGCAAAGCTGAAGCTCTGCTGTAACAGTTTGAAGGATTCTGCAATGTGCAGAGGTGAAGCCAATTTTCAAATCCAAATGCACCAGAGATCCTTTTATTTAGAGCTTAAAACTGACAAACGTGTTTACATGAATCAGCCGCCTCGTTACCTGGGATTTTAGTGCAGTAATACAAGATTTACATCTAATTAGCATTAGACCAACACTAAGAATATTTATAATATCCACAGGAATTGGGCATATTTATTACAGTTCAGATCAAGCCACCCAAGAAAGCTCAAATGCTTCAACCTAGAGCAAATGGGGGTCTTTGGACTATGCCCCAAAACATGAATTTGGGGGAAGACATCTCCTCAGGGCAGGATTCTCCACTGAATCCCCTAGTCTGTCAAAGATGAAACGTGACTGCTAGTATCAACGTTTCCTCCAACGTTGGAATTGAATTTGTAGCTGAAGAGTGAACTTTAAGAATTTTCATGAAGAAATTCTTCCCTTGGAGGGTGGTGAGGCCCTGGCACAGGCTGCCCAGAGAAGCTGTGGCTGCCCCATCTCTGGAGGTGCTCAAGGCCAGGCTGGATGGGGCTTTGGGCAACCTGGGCTGGTAGGAGGTGTCCCTGCCTACGGAAAGGGGCTTGGAACTAGGTGGTCTTTAAGGTCCTTTCCAAGATGAAGGTCCATTCTATGATTCTGTGATCTTCAAGTTAATCAAATATCTGAGATCCAGTAACTTGCCTCTTCAGAAGCTCAGGTAATGATCACTTGTGATGTGCCTGGGTTTCTAAGTGCCTGGGACCAATTCTGAATGTGGGAATTTGACTCCCCCCTTCTTAGTGGTCTACTTAAAAGACATCAAAGAAAGTTTCATGGCTCCTAATGACTGCATGGCTCCCTCATTTCTTCAAATTCAAACTCAGCTTCTCCACCCATGGCCATTGCATAGTAACACTGAATAGTTGCACAAGAAATACAGCATGTACCAGCTATTCAGACTGCCATCCCAACAATAAACACACACAAAATACACAAAAACATTGCATTTCCCATAGAAATAAATCACATTGATAAAACAGACAATCATTTAGCACTATCAAGCTTTACCCATTTTTATAATTCCATCAATTTGTAATTCCCAGTATATTTTTTTGCAATAAACTAAGCTTAGGCTTCAAATACGTGCAAGCCTGTTTTATGGAGGAAAGATTTTATTCAGAAAACGTTGAAACAAAAATATTGAAGCTCACCTACTGACAGGAGACGCCACATAACGGCAGGGGTAGCAAAGCAAGCAAACACATCGTCAGTGCAGGCAAAGTGAGTGAGGTGGGGAAGGACCACAGACTGGCCGCGGCACTGGCCCCACATGTACACCTGGCCACTCTGGGTCTTGGCAGCCGAAGTGTGAGCAGAGTGGCAGGCTGCGATCTCTATAATTCTGAATTCACAGGCAGAAAAAGAACAAAAGCAAAGTCACCGTCACAAGAAGAAAACGCAGTGAAAAAGCTCCCCACCTCCTGCATGGCCCTGGCACAAACCCTCTCTGCAAGCACACATGCACTTCAGGTTGCAAGAACGTTTTCCTAACATACGTGGCAAAATTAAAACAGCCCTCAATGTTCCTTCAAATAGTGTGCACTCAAAGTTTCCTGGTGAAAATGCCTCGTGGGTGTAAGGAGCTGGTGTTACGGCAGAGCACCAGGCTGCAGCACGCACTCTGCTCCCTCAAACAAAGCCACGAGGAGTTCCCAGCCTCTGCATGCCTTCAGTGGTGCTGCACAGTGGGGTGAGCTGCTGCATTAAGCTGTGGAGATGAGGTACTGGAGAAGATGAAGGAGAAAATGAGGTGTTGCCAATAAGGAAAAAAAAAAAAGGTAGGTCTAGGTAAGATTTTTGTACTTTGAGTCATCATAGAAAGTTAATGAGAGCAAATCTTGCAAATCTTTTCTGCTTGTTTACAGGTAATGGTCATAAGCTGACAATCTAAACAGATTTATTTTAATTAAAATACTGTAGTGTCATTACTCATACGATTATTATTACTCACACATAACAGACTTTCATTCTGAAAGTGACAAATTCAAACCAAACAGCGCACTAAAAGCTGTTTCTAAATGTGTTCTAGTTATGGTAGGCTATCTCAGTGATCCTAAAGTTGATTTAGGATTTCCTCACTCCCACTGTGTACAGCATTACACAATCTGCTGTTTTGCAGCGTGAACTACAGCTTATTTACTTGTTTTCCCAGCTGCCTGGGGAAAATAGCTGGGAAACAACTTGTTTAAAGCTGCATGTACAAATCTTGCAGGCTTTAGTGAGGTAATACTCTCACTGACACCAGGAATGCACATTCTGGCCAACAAAAGGGGAAAAGGCAGTGCACAGTATTAAAATGTGCTAACATTTCAGCTGCAATCAAAGTGTCTGGGAAAAAAAATCAAGTTACTTTTTAACACAAATGCAAAGAAACAGCAATGTTTGAAAGCAGGCTGTGTCTCAGCACCAGGGAGGAGTTCCATCTTCCTTGCAGTAACAGACACAGGCACGTGGAGGAAGAGATGTGATGATTTTCTTATTATTCACAACAGGAGACCACAATCACCACTCAGTAGCATGGAATAGATTCATCTCTCAGCCCACACAAATACACAGCTCTGAATTAGCACTAGAAATAACTGCACCGCTACCCATCAAGGACTACAGTGAAGTATTCAATTTGTAAAAATCTAAGGTTAATTTTCAGGCAATGATACCGAGAAAGAACACAGCCCTTTCTCTCTCCCCTGGGTGATGAGCTGGATTTATTAGCAGCTATAACACGAATTGCAGATGTCCACTCTTCACCTTTTCTGTGTGTATTCCTTGTCAAATGTAGCAGGGTAAAACACAATTTATATTCCGAGGCGTTAAAGCTTTTATTGTTGGCTTCAAACAATGGAACTACACCAGCAAAGAGAAACTGCAATTAAGACCTATGAAGTGCAGTGCGAGCTGAAGCAGAAAATGGCACATTCCAGCTCAGAACATTCAGTTTCTTTCTCAAGGGTGGTTATGGGGTGGATTCAGGTAGTTTCAGTGAAAATGCAGATGATTTCTGCATTTCAGTGAAAATGTATCATTAAAAAGGGTGAGATCGGAGGCAGCCTGGGCTGCAGTGAGCACACCCTGGCTGAGTTTATGATCTCGAGGAACCTGGGCCTGGCGAAGAGCAAAGTCAGGACCCCGAACTTCCAAAGAGCAGAATTCCAGCTGTTTAAAGACCTAGGGGATGGGATCCCCTGGAACACTGCCCTTAGGGACAGAGGAACTGACCAGAGATGTCAACTCTTCAAGGATGCTCTTCTTACAGGACAAGAACTCTTCATCCCCCATGTAAGAAATCAAGCAGGGAAGGCAGGAAAACTATGGTTGAGCAAGGCCCTGCTGGTCAGACTGAGGTGCAAGAGGGAAATGCACAGGCAGGGGAAGCAGGGACGTGTGGCCTGGGAAGAGCACAGGGATGGCGTCCGGGTGTGCAGGGATGGGGGCAGGAAAGCCAAAGCACAGCTGGAACTGAGCTTGGTGAGGGATTCAAAGAACGACAAGGGATTCTCTTGGTCCACTGTCCAGAAAAAAAAGGCCAAGGAGAGTTGTGTCCCCTCTGATAAATGACAGGGGAGAACTGGTTACAGCAGACACGGAGAAGGCTGAGGTACTCAGCAACTTCTTGGCCTCAGTCTTTGCTGTCAGGCTTCCCATGTCTCTCGAGTACCTGAACCTCTGGGTGAGGTTTTGCTGGGGCAACAAAGTGCAAGCAAAGGGCAGGTTTGAGACCACCTGATGGAAATGAACAGGTACAAGTCTGTAGGGCCTGATGCTGTGCATCCCAGGGTCCTGAGGGAACGGGCTGATGGAGCTGCCAAGCCTCTCTCCATCCTATTTGAAAAGTTCTGGCAGTCAGGTGACTGGAAAAAGGGAAACATCACTCTCAGTTTTAAAAAGGTTGGAAAGGAAGATGCAGGGAAATACAGAGCAGTGAGCCTCACCTCTGCGCCTGGGAAGATCACAGAACAGGGGCAGGCTGGGGAAGTGGCCCCACATGAACCCAACGAGGCTCAGCAAGGCCAAATGCAGGTGCTGCACCTGGGTTGGGGCAGTCCCAGCCATGAGCACAGCCTGGGAGAAGAGCTCACAGGGAGCAGCCCTGAGGAGAGGGATTTGGGGCTGTGGTGGCCAAAAAGCTGGACAGCAGCCAGCAGTGTGTGCCTGCAGCCCAGCAGGCCAACTGTGTCCTGGGCTGCACCCCCAGAGGGGTGGGCAGCAGGGCAGGGAGGGGATTGTGCCCCTCTGCTCTGCCCTCCTGAGGCCCCACCTGGAGTGCTGCGTCCAGGGAGGGTGTGGGGCTGGGAGAGCGGGGCCAGAGGAGGGCCATGAGGGTGGGCAGGGGCTGGAGCTCCTCTCCTGGGAAGGCTGAGGGGGCTGGGGGTGTGCGGCCTGGGGAAGAGAAGGCTCTGGGAGACCTCACAGCAGCCTTTCAATGCTTGAAGGAGGCTTATAAAAAGACGGAGAGCAACACTTTGCTCGATCAGATAATGACAGGACAAGGGGAAATGGTTTTAAACTAAAAGAAGGGAGATTTTAGATGTTAGGAGGAAATTCTTCCCTCAGAGGGTGGTGAGGCCCTGGCACAGGCTGCCCAGAGAAGCTGTGGCTGCCCCATCCCTGGAGGTGCTCAAGGCCAGGCTGGATGGGGCTTTGGGCAACCTGGGCTGGTGGGAGGTGTCCCTGCCATGGCAGGGGGGTGGAATAGGTGATCTTTAAGGTCCCTTCCAACCCAAGCCATTCTATGAAAATCAAACTTCAATGCATTGCATTTGTATGTCAGACAAGCTTCCAATCCGTTCACATTCAGCAAAAGAACTATTGTAAAAAATGATAGTCTCTTTCTTAAAAAAATAAGTTTAAAAATGACATAACTTTCCGTAGCTCTTCTGAACATATGCCAACTGATGTCTGACTGATAGAATGTAAGTATTACCTGTCCTTATTCACAACAACTGTCGCAGGGTAGGACTGGTTACTTTTATTCCCAGTACCTAACTGGCCATATGAATTGGCTCCCCAGGCATAAATGTGACCTTCATCCGTTAGCACTAACGTATGTGCACAGCCACAGGCAACCTGTAAGAAATAATAAAATGAAAAATCTCGTTTGTATGTAATAGTAAGTTAACATAGACAGATGTGTGTTATGTTATACATTGATGTTATTGATTGAACTTCACTATAGTTAATAAAAATGATATTAAGTCTGCCAGAAGGACAAAATACTAAACTGAAGCATTTTCCCAGAGTGAAATACAGTCTAATGAAGAATGGGATAGCCTAAAAAGATCTTATTAAAAATAGCATTTATTACAAATGTCGGGAAAAAATATTTATTAGAAAGGACCAAACGTTTCTAAATTCCTAGTCCTCTTTAAGTAAAATCCTGCCCTCACTGAAAACAATGGCGAAATTCCCACTGAACTCCACAGGGTCACAGTTTCTCAGAGGTTCATTTTAAGATATAAGTCTTCATTCTGATAAAATGCACTTTAAACAAAAGATCCGGGACTACATTCTTCACATGCAGAATATTAGCATTTTCTCAGTTGTTCATAAAGGGTTTGACATGGAGCATCACACACCTACCCTCTGTACACGAATGCCCTGCAAGGCTGCAATTCGGCATGGTGTTGGCTGATTACCACTGCTGCCCAGTCCAAGCTGCCCATTACCATTGTAACCCCAGACATAGACCTTAAAAACAAAAACAGGGATTTCAGTTGTTTGCTTGTACGTTATTCTTCTGAAAACAATACAACTACTTCATTGTTCCCATAATTTCTTTCAATATTTCAAGTTCCCACACCTTAGGATCTGCACTGTATATGTAGACACGTAAGTATGTGTGTATATATACACATACACACACATATATACATGAACCCTACATAAATATACAGATAACTACATACTTCTTTTATGTATTTGTCATTTCTGGTACAGAAAAACATATTTTGGATGCTTCATCAGTTAAAACTTCCAAGTGTATGCCCATCTAAAATTCTAACCCTTCATACTCATCTTTTTTAGAAGTTATGAAAGTGGAAAATAAGTGATTCATAGGACCATTCCCCAGCACAGAGCAAATTCAGCATGAATACTTCCCTTTTTAAAAGAGCTAATTTCTCATTCAAAAATCTTCTAACACAGAAGAAAACGTATTAAAACAAGTATAAACTGGAAAATATCACAGCAGTTTGAGCAGGCTATTAATGGTTTTGCAACGAATATAAGAAGGAAAACACTGAGTACTGGTAATTTCAGTGACATATTACACTACTCTAATGCAGTCAGTAGCTACCAAGGTCTAAACTGAAATGCTTGAAGTGATGAATCTGGAGAGGAACTAGGCTGCCCTAAGTCTTCAGCTCAAATGAACTACAGCAGAAGGAACACTATATCCCCTTGATATCCTCACAACGAAGATTAAAAAGTATTAGAGGGGTTCAAGGTGTATTGAGGTGGAAAAACATACGCAATATACTTTTATTTTCTCTGTTTTTCTTTTTTTCTTGAGATAATGTGTATACATGGGCACTGAAAACTAAGAAAGTATCGACTGATTATTCTCACCTTCTTGGTATATAAGATTCTAGTTTAGACAAAATATTTTGTTTTGCTATAAAGACAGCAGTGGGATAACATTAATCAGTACTTTCTTTTTTTGTTAGAATATAGTACCACTCTAAAAATCAGTAAATCAGTTAACAAGAAATGTTAACATTAACACGAGATGTTAAATACATATACAAAGTTTTTATGATTTAATCACTACGTTTGTAAAAATCTGGCCTTCTAATTTTTATTTTTGTTTTTTCCTCAGAACTGTATTTTCAAGTAAATTTGAAGTTTAATGCCTGAATTCCTTTAGGAAAGCCAACTTCAGTAGTTGATACAAAGTAATAGTTGATAAGTGTTATGACTAACCTCATAAACCAAGAAGCCAAATATTAGTGAACAAATTTCTGTTCAACTTCTTTCTAAAAAAGAAGCTATAACCAGCACGAATAGGAAATTGTGCTTAAGTATATGAGAATACGCAACACAATTTATGACAAAGATTTTTACAAACAGTACACGCAGGTAGATTTGAGGGATTCTGGAAATAAATACTGCTTTTCCCAGTGATAGTACATTACTGAAAGGTTTAAAATGACCCAAATCCTATGGTACTACATACAATAAAGTTCAGTCATAAATTTCAATTAACATTTCCTACCTCTCCATTTTCCACCACAGCCATGGAGCACATCTGTCCACAGGCTATGTTAACTACTATTTTATTTTGTAGGCAGCTGGTAACTCTTCGAGGAATCGGTTGATTAGCTGTTGAGCCAGACCCAACCTGGCCTGAGTTGTTATAACCCCATGTGTATACCTGTCAGAAAAGGATTGTCATCAAAGAAGAGTTTATAACATGCAGTTCTAAGTATGCATTCAAGAAAGAAGTTACATGCATTAAAAATATGTTTTGAGTTTGTGTTCACGTTTTCTTTTAAGATTTAGGAAGATACATAGGTTTACAATATAATTGTTTCTATCAAAACTATGCCACTCACAGTATTTATATATTCCATTCTTTAATGTTCCACCAACCAAAGTTACGAGGCAACATGACAGTTGCAATCGTACAGAAGATTTGTTAGATTTCCAGAGCCCAGTGCAGAATGACTAACTGCACACAAATGGCATCTCAGAGTAAATGATGATAAAACTGTTTACTTCACTGGGTAAAACTCCTGACATGAACACAATTTAAATTGATGTCAGTTTTAATACTTTTAAGCATCTATGGTAAGGTATAGAATAGGAAGAAATGATGATTTCTTATTACAAGCAAATGTGGCACTGAAATCCATGTCCTGCATGCACTTCAAAGTAGATAGACTAACAGATTTTCTGTTTTTGCTACACATTTTTGTTGCATCAGCACCCCGAGGACAGAAAGCACAACCAATGCACTAGGTGCAGTATGTTTTCCGGTTTCTCATGTACAAAAATTTCATTAGGAGAAAAGAGATTTATTCTAGCTTTTCTCACCTCTCCATCAGATGTTAACACCATAGAATGATGAGAGCCACAAGCAACTTCAACGACTTTCTTGTTCACCAAGTTAGTGGAGACTTGACAGGGAACCAAACCATGATTTGTTGTACCATTGCCCAACTGGCTATAAGCATTATGACCCCATGTATACACTTCTCCTTCTACAATAAAAACGTAAAAAGCAGTTTCAAAATCTATTTTTCCAATGGCTACATAACATAAAATTACAAACTGAAAAGCCAAATTCAGTAACATATTATACACATTTAAGTATACATATGCCCTTTTTGGCACCTAATCCCACGGACTATCCCATCTTCTCATAGTGTTTACCACAAATCCTAAAGGATAGTATCACCATAATCTTCATAAAAGAAATCAGATAGCTAAAAGAAAGGAGACAAAGCGATATAGAAGAAAGATGAAATGACAGGAGCCCCCATTTCAGGTTATATCTTTGTTACTGAGAGCCAGCCAAAATTTCTGTCTGTGTCCTGGCCCTGTGTTTCCCACTTTTGGAAAGTTCAAATAATAAGCTTTTCATCCCACTGCAATATATATGAGGAGGCTTGTAGGAAAAACAATTAGGCAATGCTGCTATTTATTATTTAAACATGCCATTCGTGTCTTGTATTTTGAGAAACATGCTAGTAAAATTAAGAATGCAAGAAATGTCTGACTGGGTTAGGCATCTAGTCTATCTAGTGCAGAATTCTGTTTCTGACTAGCAATAAAAAAAAGAGACTGTTTAGGGGGAAAATGAACCTGCAGCCCATTCCCCTCATACTTCATTTAGAACCACTAGATTACAGATATTATGAGGCACAACCCTTCCAATTTACTTTCAAATATGTGTATTGGCCTGTTTTTCATGAAGCTAACACCTTTTTGTACTCACATTTTTCATGCATCAGGTATCCTCTTGTTTCAATAGTGCCAGACTTAGTGAATAGTTATTCTAATTTCATCTCATCTACCATTGTCACGACCTTCTACATCTAAATTATGCTGTTAGTCCAGGAGAGCTAGATTTGACATCGAACTCCTTCAGATCTCTAAAGAGATCATCAGACGCCTTATGTTTTCACTAAGAAGGGTTCCCCCAAAACTAACAAGAGAAAACGTGCTACACTAAACCAATATTTCTCTATAATAACAGGTTGCCTCTACTGGTTTTACGTTGTCAAATACAAACAACCTTCTCCCCATTTCATTACTAAAAGAATGATATGTATTTCACAACTCTTGCATTAATGCCTAAGGGCTTTCTGACAGGCAGGTTAAAAGAAACTATGATGAATGGCAGGCAGTCACATGAATGGAGTTACGAGTAAAAGTCATCGAGGATCAGTTCTGGACCTGTTCTTGTGTAATATTTCACTTTATGATCTGGATAAGGAGTATGATGGGGTATGAGTAAATCTGCCAGCAACAAAGCTCAAAAGAAAATGCGGGTGCACATGTAAAAAGCTTCCAGAATGGGAGGCCCTGAAGAAATTCATGGGATGTAATGGTATATAAAGAATAGTTACACACAGAGAACATAATTCAGGTCACCTACCTTTAGTCATCTAATCTAAACTAGTCAACAAGATTTTTTCTCATTAATGAAGAGACACAAATACTAATATTATCAGGCAGGCTCTAAAAGAATCTCACTGAGAACACAACATTACTCATTTGTCTTCAAAAATAATGTACTTAATAGCAAACAGATCCGCAGAAGGGCTGCTAGCATGGTATATGTTTCAACAGAGTGCCAATGAGACAACAGAAAACAAAAAGCTGCAAGGCAATATAAAAGTTCTAAAGCACATCTGGAAGTAAGTACTTGAGGGAAAAGATGCATTTTAGCTGAAGGACAATGTTGGCACAAGAACAGGAGCATTATGTAGCCACTAACACATTTTAAACCCAACCAGAAGTTCCAAATTTAACTTGTGTACTAAAAAATCTTCCAGAAGTAGTAACAAGATCAAAGCAGAGCTTGAGAAACTTACAAAAAGAACTAGCTATGAACAGAAGTAGCACATCATGTTGGCTAATGAAAGCATGTTAGACTTGATAGCCCAGACTGTGTATCCCAATTTTCTCTCTTATGCTCCCCAAACAGACCTTTCATTCCTGCTTGACTAATTAAAGCAGAACTATCCAAAAAAGCAGTATTTGTGTCATACTTTACCTTCCGTAGCAAGAACAACGTGAGGACCACTTCCATAACTCAGACAGGCTATTTTTTTGCCACACAGAGAATCTAATCTCTTTGGTTCAATAGTGCTTTGGATGTCTCCTGTTCCCAAGCACCCACTGCAGTTCATGCCAAGCACAAAAACCTGTTATAAAAGAATCACAGAATCATAATTTGAGTTGGAACAGACCACCAGAGGTCAACTAGTCCAAACCTCTTCTCAACAGAAGTCTGAATATATCAGTTTACTCAAGGCCATGTCCCAGTGAGTCCTGAACAACACCAAGGAAGAGATCTCACAAGCTCTCTAGAATTTAACAAGTCTCATGGTATTTTTTCCCTAATATTTAATTGGAATTTCCCATGCTCCAACTTGTGTTCATGCATCTCCAAGAAATGTCTAGCCCCATCTTCTCTGATCATGGTAGGAATCCAGTAATTCGCATTGCAAATGTCTTAGCAGCAATCAAAACGACCAGGTATTCAGCATGCAACTTGTCCTAGGTATACAATCACACTACTAGCTTTCTTAATAACTTGACACATGAATGACCAAGTATGTCATGTTCATGCACTTGAACAATTACCTCATCATTTTCAGTCGCATACAGCACTTCATTACCAGCGTTACCAAACACACAGGCTTGACGAATTAACTTGAGCTCTTCTTGTGAACAAAGAGAAAAAATGGGCCATTTCCCAATATCCAGCATCTTTAGAGCTGACAACAATGTTGCCTCCAAGACCTGATGTTAAAGAAAAAAGACATCAAATACCTAGACAGAGAGAAATGTATATGCCTTTGCATAGTAAAAAGGATAAATTCAGAGATACACCGCTACAAACTTTCACAACCACAAAATATTTTAATTCTAGAACAGTAATTGGAGCAAAGCCATTAAAATAAACAAATAAACGATATCACGATCCAGAAAGAAAGCACCAATACACATGAAGAAAAGTACAAAATAAAAAGTTAAATGCTGCAGTCACATTTTCATTGTATTTATACAACATAACTGCTAGGTTACAGGATTCAATATACAGGATTTTAATTTCAAGGTGTGAAGTTTACATCCAAAACTTGAAAATAATGTGTTTTTTCCTCTGATGCTATAACTATTGTTAAGAGGAAAAAAGAAAAAGACATGTAAGAACTGCCCAAGAATATACTTATATTTAATAAATATACACATTTATGTTCATGTATTAAAAATGGAAACCTGAGAAAACTTGAGAAACTCTTTCCTTTATTTTTCACTTCTGAAACAGTCTGTCTTTCAACAATTATTGAATCTTTGGGAACTTTCTAAGAATATTTTTATTTGTAAGTAAATACATAATAAAAGAAAAAAGATAATTGAACATTCCCTAGCACGGTCAAGGAGAAGTAACAAGTTTCTTGTCAAAGGAAAAGAAAAAAAAAAAAGCTCTCTCCAGACATTAAAATTAGTCAAGTTAATGTCTGAGTCTCACTCTACATTTCTCCTGCTTTAGTATAGCATAAATCAAAAAAATGTTACAGGATCGAAATTTAGCTGCAACTTTTGCACAGAACACTCATCAAAGTTTCTTTACTAAAATTAAAATAAGTTCTGGGTATGAAGAAAAGCATTATTAATTGCCAGCTCTGAAGCTAAGTAAGAACAGATTTTGCCTATCATGGCATTATGTAGTTCACCACATAACAGCAACGACTGCATGATTTGTTTACACCTAGGAAGCAGCAGACCCACAAAATGAACTGTCACAGAATACTTTTTTTTTTTTTTTAAACCTCTGACTGAAGCAGCAATGTGAATAAATTCCAGTTTAGAGTCACCTATGTCAGTCTTAGGGATATTGCTTTTTTGACTAATATCACTTACTATGAACAAATGTTCACAGAAGCACAGATAAAACGCTTGAAACTAGAGATAAATCCCTAAATAAATTGTGGATTTCAATCTCTAAACAAATATACTTCTGAGGAACGAGGAGGGTTGGTCACGTTCCATTAAAAAAAGCTGCGGTCTTGATGACAGTAGCTATTTCCCCATTCCCTCACACCAAATAACTAGATTCAGTGACCATTTTCAGCCAAATTTGCAAGTGAAAGGGAAGTAAGATTCAGCTGTTACACAATCCATTTGGCAGTAGGCAACTGGAGAATCACACACGTACATGATGAAGTAAGTCAGCAAGTAAGTAGGGCCAAGCCAGTTTAGGAAACGCTGTCTTCCATGACACGTAGCAAAATTATAAGAGATGAAGGGTACGTATCCATCTAAAATCAGGACTCATAAATCTGCTTTTCACAGAACAGTTTGTTTCATGTCAAGAGGTTAGCATGAATTTTATGGAAGGATTTTAGGGACTTATTAAGTATGATAATGAGAAGCAAAAGCATCACAGACTAGTCCGTCAATTGCATTAACAAAACTGCATCCCACTTTTGCTCAAGGTGCCCTTCAATTGTAGATGCCCTTACCAATGCTCCACCAAAATAAGATACTGGTTTCTTTAAAATGTTGGCTATCAATTCCAAGTACACAGCAGATGAATGAGCACCCATTCATCTCATAAAGTTTTTTTGTGTAATCTCCTTCTACAAAGAACTCCTGTCCTACTCTCATAATTAATGGGTTACAAAAACAACCAAAAAAAACACAAAACAAACAAACAAAAAAGTAGCATTTCTTAGCATTAAAATCATACTCTGAAAAACGTACTATAAAAAGCACCCAGGAAAAATACTTACAGTACTTTTTTTTTTTTTCTTAAACAGAAGAATTATTAACAGACTTTGTCAGACTAAAACATAATCTAAATCCTGTCTCTCAAATCACTAATCTCATCCAATTTACTAAGAGACATTCTTTCACTTTTTAACATTTTCCCCCCTCCCTCACTTTCCATCATATTTTTTTTCCCCACAAAAAAGACACCTTGAAGTACCAGCCTGCAGTATTTGTGTCCCATCAGTGATTAGCTCCCTCATTATATTGCACAGGTTCATGACAGACAGAACTAGACAAGAATTTGAGATTTCATATGACACAGGTACCTATCGCAAAGGTGTATCAGCTATATCTCAAGGACTCCTAAAACTTCATTTGACCTCAGCAATCAGTCTAAAAGCTGGGTATTCAGTTCTGTCATGCAGCTCACCTTAACAAGGTGCTATCATTAAGCTCAAAATCTAAATGATATGTTTCATGAAATTTTACACGCAGGGTTTTCAAAGGAAAAGAAAGAGGAAAACAGGATGGAGTTTTTTCATCATATTATGCTACAAAAGTTAATTCTTACGAGTACATCTTGTTGAAAAATTAAGCTGAAATGAGTAACTTTAGAACTTAATTCTAAATTACACCAATGCTGCAAGACAATGGAGCAATTCAACCCGCATCAAATGAATATATTGTGCTTCTAACAATTTGTGGATCACATAAGTAGCGTTTCTTTTCCAACTATCATTTTATACCTGGAGTTTTGGTTTTATGTTTATCTTGAAAGCTACCAGCATGTACTAAGTTAGTGCTAAATGAAGCCAGCTTAATCCTCTTGAGCAGAGCAGTATGAAATTCGTAACACAAAGTCACACTCTGACCTTGGCACTGACTTCTTGAGAAGGAGGAGTTTCATCCTCCATACAGATTTGCGCCTGTGTCCACCTGCAGAGAGAGAATAGTGGTTAAAATCAGGATATCACATTGCTGCAAAAATACTTTATAGAACTATACACACTTCATATTAAGCCAGAACTATTTGCCTGTATTGGGTGAGAAAACAAAAATCATGAAGCTCAGACAATTTTGTTTTTATATTTAACTGCACAGTGATCAGTGAAATGGACTCTACTCTTCTACATTATTTTGTATTCTTACCTAAATAGGAATTTTTGGACTTTTTTTTTTTTTTTTAATAAGTAGTACAATTAGTCAGTTATCAGAAAGGAAAAGGTTTTAATAAACACAATACTCTAATTTTTTTATTGTAGTAAAAATAGATTTAGAACCTTGCTGATGTAATTTTTCAAGACATTTCTTTCAAAAAAAAAAATAGAAAAAGCACACTGGACAAAGCTTTCCATTTCTGGCATAAGCCTTCAAATGTTCTTATTCCAGTTCCATTTTGAAAAGCAGTGTTAGAAATAAACATTTGGGGCTTTTCAGGTTTTACTGAGCATTGTTAGAATATCCACTTTGTTTCAGAAAATACTGCCAGCTCTGTAAAAGAACTGCATGCTTTCTGTGGTGTGCATCATCACTAGAAACAATTTCCAGATCAGATGTTTCTTCCCACATGAATATGCATGCCCCTGCTATCCCTAAATAATTCCCTAACATAAAGCCATGCAACTCCATTTCCAGTAAAACTGCACAAATCACGAAGCAGCTTTGAAGCTGTGCAGGCTTCTTTTGCTCAGCAAGTTGGAAAGTGGTAAATGTCATTTTCTCGGAGGGGCAGCGATTCAGCCAATGCTAAAAAATCTGTTTACATTTCACTGAAAACAAAATGTCTGGAAAATTCTGATTAGAAACACAATAACACGCAATACACAAGAATCCACCACTTTATTTAGCTATTTTTCAGAAGACTTCTGCACTTTAAAAGAAGTACCAAATGTATCTTTATAAAACTATGTAATGTACTAATAAACATGTCCTCTTATGGAAGCCTTCACGCTGTAAGACCAAGCCCAAAGATGTAGAATATATGAAATTCATAGGATTTAAATATTATCGGTTTTAAGGATTTAACAAATATGATTTAATTCACTGAATAAAGAAAAAATCTCTACTGAAACTAGAAACAACCTGCCGAATTAAGGCCTTTTGCATGACCAGAGCAGGGTTGTGTTCCCAAACTGCAGTTCTGAAATGTTTAATGTCAACCACGGCAGCAGTGTTAAGAGTGGAACTGACTATCAAGGCCATGCAAAATTTTGCAGCTTCGATTTTCAACACTGCCTGTCAACGCTGATATGTGTAATCCACTTCTTCGCCACCCTTAGCCTACGCAGCTGACAGGTTTTCCAAGAGCTTAACTATTAACTATGAATTTTTGAATGTAAGTGAACGCAGGATTCTGTCTCTCTTCTGTAAGCCATCTGATACACGACTGATACTCATCATTCTTCAAGTTCTAATATTTTACTTCCATTTCTTCTGTTTAGGCAAAAGCACATAGTTTGACGTTAAAAGCAGGTTACCTGCTAGTATAAACGAAGATACATCAGTATGGACCATTCAGTAACCTAACGAAAGGATCTCCAGCCCGCTACTTTTTCAGAGTCCCAGAAACATACCGAGAGTTTTGAACTAACTTTTTGCAAGAATAGAGGTCACTTACACGTCCTCACAATTCCAAAGTGATGTTTTATCTTAAACATGAGAAAATTACCCTGCAACTCCATTCTTCAAACCATTCTGCAAGCATAGGCACTTTATTTCTGATCTGTCCTACATAGGGTATAGGTAGTACATAGGATGCTTCAGATGATACCCATTTATTTTTTTATTCAAATTCATTTGTTGTAATACAAGTACATATTGATTGTCAAATGTTTGCATCTGCAAAAGGTGTTCTTTGTAAACACCTGTAATTCATTTAAGAGTATATATTAACTATTAGACCCTGAAAACAAAGAAAGACAAAGAAAGTATATTAAATCATTATGCATACATAACAATCATTCTTATCTGAGTACCTCTAACATACTAGTGATGATTCATGTTTGCTTACTCTTAGGAATTTTTCCTTCAGAAAAATTACCATTGGATGTACTGTGAAGCAAAGGAAAAACAGTACTTGCATCAAATGTTTGAAGAACAAAACCTTCATATTTGTGCACTTTACAGAAGAAAAATACAGTCAGAGCTATTAGAGACAAGTTTTTAGGGCTGTTAATCTACAAAATCTTGAAATATGCATATAATTGCTGAAAAACCTTATCTTAGAATAGTTAGTCATTACTAACTAAAAAAAAAGCAAGTTACTTTCAAAAGTAAACAGGTAAGCAAGAACTATTTCTCATGCATTAAAACTTTATATATATATTCACTGTTTTTTCCAAAAAAAATCTAACACGAAAATCTTAAAGAAGAAACCTCATAGTAAGTGTCCATTTTCTGAGGAAGTACACGGTGTTTTAAAAGTATTTACATTGAACTTTGATAAATCTCTTATCTGGAATCCAAGTCCAATTTGAGAATCTGGACAGCGTACTCTGGCAGCCTGAGTCAACTTGTGCAATTTGTAAGTTCTGACTCTGGATTTGCTCCAGCCATGGTATGTGGGCAGACTATGTATGCCTCTGTGGTATAGATAAGATGAAGTTAAGGAACACAAATGCTGGTTCTATTAGCTAAGCTCTATTAAGAGTCTAACCAGACCATTTAATCCTAAATATTTATACAGGTTCCCTAAATCATTTGAATGTAAATATTCTTGTAGATTCTCTCTCTAGGAACTTGGCAAGCAAACATTTTTTTTTTCCTTACCAGAACTCCACTTAGCATTTCCTCGCTCTTAACTTCAGTATTTCTGAATCTCATCTGCTGAATCAAAGGTCTGTCTAGAGCTTCTTACCCCAGTAACTCTAACCAAAGGCCTTGGAAAGAGTAGAAGGAAAAAGTCACAGAAAAAAAGGACTTGCTTTCCTTTAGGAAAAGGACCTAACCTTGCTTGATCGTGTTGATTTCTCAGCAGCCACATGCAGGAAAAGGCATGAAATGATGCTAAATTGTTCGAGTGATCTTGCAGGAGAGGACAGAACAGTAATATTATTGACAGCTATTGCCACTGAAGAGGTTACATTCCCTTTCCAGGAAGACGTGAGACTATTTTCAAAATTATCATCCTTCTTCACGTACAAACACTGAAATGTCACTACCCTGTCTGGTGCTGACCATAAACTGACAGAACTCAGACCTTCATTTACTCCTCCACTGATGCAGCGTTTTCCATTACCAAAGAACTGCAGACCCTGGAAAACAGTAAGTGGTTGTTTGAAGAGCTGCTATCTCCAACGAAAGCACGCTTTTCTCATTCCCTTCTTGCTTCTTGACACCATCCTGTGACTTCTTGGCTTCTGATGCAAGCTTCAGTGGCTGCCTACTAATTTCAAGAGTAAAGTACATACAATTTAGAGGCTGAATCCAAGAACCTCCGAACGACTGCAGTCTTGACAGTCTGAAAGACTGACATCATAGAACCATAGAATATCCTGAGTTGGAAGGGACCCTTAAGGATCATCAAGTCCAACTCTTGACACCGCACAGGTCTACCCAAAAATTCAGACCATGTGACTAAGTGCACAGTCCAATCTCTTCTTAAATTCAGACAGGCTTGGTGCAGTGACCACTTCCCTGGGGAGCCTGTTCCAGTGTGCAACCACCCTCTCTGTGAAGAACCCCCTCCTGATGTCAAGCCTAAACTTCCCCTGCCTCAGCTTAACTCCGTTCCCGCAGGTCCTGTCACTGGTGTTAATGGAGAAAAGGTCTCCTGCCTCTCGACACCCCCTTACGAGGAAGTTGTAGACTGCGATGAGGTCTCCCCTCAGCCTCCTCTTCTCCAGGCTGAACAGGCCCAGTGCCCTCAGCCGTTCCTCGTACGTCTTCCCCTCCAGGCCTTTCACCATCTTCGTAGCCCTCCTCTGGACACTCTCCAACAGTTTCATGTCCTTTTTATACTGTGGTGCCCAGAACTGCACACAGTACTCGAGGTGGGGCCGCACCAGTGCAGAGTAGCGCGGGAAAGACTGACATCCTTGACCTTGTGAAGTAGGTAACTACTTCAGAAATTTCTAATTAAAATAAACTGCTACAGAAATCTAATTAAAATAAGACAGCCTTATTGTCTCACTCTGCAGAACCAAAGCTTCAGCTAAAACCATCTTGTCAGATGCCACCTCTCTTTTAGAATGATAATCAGTTCTACCTGTTGGATACAGCATGACCCCACTGAAATTAGCAGAGACTGACAGAATAGTTTGGGTTGGAAGGGACCTCAAAGATCATCCAGTCCCAGCCCCCTGCCATGGCAGGGACACCTCCCACCAGCCCAGGTTGCCCAAAGCCCCATCCAGCCTGGCCTTGAACACCTCCAGGGATGGGGCAGCCACAGCTTCTCTGGGCAGCCTGTGCCAGGGCCTCACCACCCTCTGAGGGAAGAATTTCTTCCAAATATCTAATCTAAATCTTCCCCTCTTTTAGTTTAAAGCCATTCCCCCCTTGTCCTATCCCTACACCCCCTGACAGAGTCCCTCCCCAGCTTTCCTGTAGGCCCCTTTAGGCACTGGAAGGCTGCTGTAAGGTCTCCCGAAGCCTTCTCTTCTCCAGGATGAACAACCCCAACTCCCTCAGCCTGTTTTTGTAGGAGAGGTGCTCCAGCCCTCTGATCACCCTCGTGGCCCTCCTCTGGACTCACTCAAATAGATCCATGTCCTTCTTATGCTGGGGGCCCCATTTACATTCTGTAAGATTTACTGGAGTACTGGAGCTAGATGGTTGAAATCTGTATGCAAAGGCCTTTTTTTCTCCCCCCCCCAGTAATTTCATCATCCCCCAAAATAAATTAATTGAGATAAATGAAGGCAGTGTAGGATAAGATATAAACAACATAAAACAAGGGAACATGGACACACCAAAAGAAGTTACTGTGAATACCATTTTATAACCCATCAATTCAGCTTTACTACCATGGTGGTAAAGAACAAATACATCAGGGAAAAATGTTTTGAAACAAGTGAGAAGGCAGGAAAGAAAACAAATGACATGACCTTTCAACTCTTCGATGGTTTAAAAATAAGTGTCAGGATCTGGTGCGAAATTTCTGCCCTAAGTGACAAAATTGCTCTGAAAAATCATATGAGGATTCCTGGGACACCTTCCCCTCACCTCCATAAAAAAAAAACCACAAAACAACAAAAAAACAACAACAACAAAAAAAACCCACACCAAACCTTGGAACTTTTGGTTAGGAAGAAAATGCGATTAATTTGATTTTTATAAATTCAATAGGACTTTTGTAAGTCCTATAAAAAACAGATGGTAAGACACACTGCCCATATTAAGCGTCTTTATTTCTCCCACCCCTATTCTGTTTTTCCCCCCCCTCAGAACTGTTGTCCCTCATCGTCATTGCTGTAGAATGGTGTATTGTTTACCAGGGAGCAGCAAGAGTGGAACTGACTGGAAAAATGCATCATCATCTACCAGAGGGAAAACGCTTAAAGCAGAAGAAACAAATCTCAAATTCTTTTCTCCATGCCACAAACCCTCCAGTCACCCTGAAAAAAAAAAAATTTGAAAGCTTTGGGTATCCATCTACTTGACTGGAAAAAAAAAAATATAAAGATTTGAATGAAACAACTAAAACCTATTAAGGAACAGAAAATATATAACAAACCAACAAAAAGCAGAAGTACAAAGAATAGAAAATAGTCTTCGGCAAATCTATGTTGAAATCTCAAGGTTCGGCAGCTAAAAAAAACTGATTAAAAGGTGTTGATCACAAAATATTTTTGCATTAAAGTACTTTCACTCTTTTATACGAGAGCAAAAATACCTTTTGAAGGCAATCAAATGTTTCAGATAATGGAAAATGAATGCACAAACTACCTTTAATGCTGAAAACCATTATAGGAGGATGCTGGAGCCATTTTCATGTAATTAGTGGTTTACTTCTGCATTAAAAGAAAAAAATATATATAATGAGCATTATCTCCAAATCTTTTAAGTATATTAAAATAATCAAACAATTTGTTAGACAGTTTCTTGGGAACAGGATGTTATCTCTGTATCTAAATCTAATATAAGCTAAATCTAACCCGAGATGTCAAAGAAAAATATTCGCTTTTTTAATGTGAATTATTCCAGATTTTCAGAAAACTAACATGAAAAGCTCTTTCTCTTTGCCAAATTTCTAGACAAACTCTGAACACTCTTCAGTTCCTGTAATCCATACAGAGACAAACCTAATAAAATATCAACAACGGATGCAATTATTAGGTCTTGTCCATTTAAAACACTGCATTTAATTTACCATATAACCGTTTTGGTAGAATTGAAACCTATATTGATTTTTCATTTTGACATTCCTTCTTGAGAGTTAAAGGAAACCAGCTTTAGGGAAATGAAAGTATTCTGAAGATTTGGTTTTAAAATAACTTTAATAAAAATATCAACCACGTAGCATAGCAAATTAATGCAAAATAATGCAGTAAATATGTATCCTGCTCAATCTGTTGAAGAGGAAAGCTGCTATAGTTCTAACCTATAACCAGTTCCTTACGTGTCCAAGGAAGGGCCTTTTATGCCTTCTAGCCCCATTTAAGCTAAAAGCTGTAATTTATAAAAGCTACCTTCTAAAAACATTCTATGCCTTAATTAAAACAACAACAAAATAAATAAACAAGCCCATAAGCATTATTAAACCACATCTGGGTCTCTTCTACACTCATCACTTAGATTTAGCACAGTCTTTCTGCACACTGGGTCACCAAGAGTGGATTTTTTTTCAAGACTATGTCTAACACGACCACAGCATGAACTGGTGGCTGTACTTAGACCTCCCTGTAACACTGGGTACTTGCAAGAGTGTTTCCCATGAACCCAGCACAGAAGGCCAGGCAGGGCTGAAGGCTGGTGCAGACACAAATCCTTCCCTGATACAAAGTCAGAATTTGCCTAGGTATATGCATCTAGCATGTAAATATAAAAGTATCATCTAAATATAGATACAAATAATCGATATTCTATACCTGGATCTAAGAATTCAGGTTGTTTAAACTTTGATAATTATAGCTGTCTGCATAAAAAGATATAATTTGCAGTTTGGAGACATACAATAGTAAATAAAATGTGCATATGAAAAAAAAATTAGTGGTATTTCTTGGTGAGTAAATGACTCTAACTGTCCATTTGGGTATTTCTTTAAGTCTTCTGAAACTGTAAGTGACCAACAAAAATGGCAAGAGCATGAGATTAGACGTAGCAGATGGACGTTTCTCAGCTCTTAAAAGCAAAGTCAGAAACAGAATGTTATTCCTTAAAGTGTAAGCTTAAGCATCTAATATTAAATCTACTTGCAGCAATAGTCTCCAAACTGCAAGACATCACATGCAATGGGAGGCCAACGTTATTTTACCTCAACTTTATCACCTAGAAGTTTTACTTCTGTTTTTGTTTTTACTTAGATGATTAAAGAAGCTTTAAAAGCACTTGCCTATAACTAACTCAAACTTACATTGCACAATTTTCACTTCATCACCACACTTTTTCCTGCAGCTTTGTTTATCCAACCTTTTCCTATTCTTTATTCCACAACATTCTTTTTGAGATAAGTAACAGTTTGGCAGACCTTTTTTTTTCCTTTTTTTTTTTTTGGATATTAATTCCAAATAAACTTTATCTTTGGCATAAAACAATTTAATTCCTTCTTTATTTTCAGGGCACTCAGGACTCAGTGCAACTGACATCACGAACTAACCCTCTTGATTTTTCAAGGTTGGCCCTCCTGAGATCATGAACTTCAACCTTTGATTATTGACATACAGTACATAGCTAAACAAACTACAAATGGGATCCTGGATTGAAAGCACTTCTAAGAAATTTTTACACGGAGAAATGGGCAATTCAGTGCCTGTTCAGCAAGTTTAGAGCAGTTCTGTGTAAGAAGATGATGTTAACAAATGATGTTAACAAAAAAGCCCACCTATGATGAAATTCCTAATATTGTCTCTCAGTAAGCACTATCCTCATCAAAACCCAGCTCTTCTGGTCTATAGCACACACCAGCAAAAGCTCCTATAATGTTTTCCCATCAAAGCAATGATAAGCTTGATTCTTTTTTATCCCTTTCCTGTTGCTTTACTTCCCATCGCATCATTACCACCAAATATCTTTCTGTCACGTCTATTTCTCCCTTACCCCACATGCAGCAGGATCATTATTTCTCATTTTTTCCTTTACCTGTACCTCCTTTCACACCCTCCACCATTCCTTCACCCCAAACCCAGCCACCAGCTCACCCCCCCAGCTCACAAGGACGCACAACATCTCCCGTAAACATCCTTTATTCAGTTCTCAACCACAATACAATTCAACAACGGGAAAAAATCAATCTGTGGAAGGAAACACGGTGGAATTTCGCAGGGAAAAGCCCTCAGCGGGCAGCCCCAAGATGCCGGCGCGGGGCGGGAGGCGCAGCGCCCGCCCTTCCCGTCCCACCCTCGCCCGCCCGCCATGCCCGGCGGCGGCTGAGGCGGGGCGGGGTTGGGCGGCCGTTGGGGCGCCGCGTACCGGCCCCAACCGCCGCTCGCCTCAGCGGGGCGGCTCTGCCCGGGGGCCGGGACGGGATGGGGAGGAGAGGGAAGGGCGGCGGGCTGCTCGCTGCGTATAGCTTACCTTCCCCGCAGGCGGCGGCTCCTCCTCCTCTTCCTCCTCCTCCTCCTCCCTGCAGAGGGGCCGGGGAGGGTGCAGCCGCTCTCAGGCGCCTCCTCAGCCGGCAGGAGGGGGAGGGAAGGGAGGTAGCGCCTCCCCGGGATCCTCCTCCCGCAGCCGGAGCGGCCCCTCGGGGCTGGGAGTGCGGCTGCCGCCGAGCTGAGGAAACGCAGCCCGGCTCTTCCCTAAGGGTTTTGGGGAAGAGCTGGGTGCTCGGCGTGGCTGTTGTCTGGGCTTAAATAGGTGTGACAACGCCACATAGTGAGAGACGTGTTCAAAACCATGATTACTATGGGAACACCAAGCATTGTGATATACTATTTGTACGCACAATACATTTTTAAAATGATTTTTCCAAGAGAAATCACAGAATCCCAGAATCACAGAATTTCTAGGTTGAAAAAGACCTCAAAATCATCGAGTCCAACCTCTGACCTAACACTAACAGTCCCCACTAAACCATATCCCTAAGCTCTACATCTCTCTTCCAATACGTCTTTAAAGTTTAGCTCCCCCTCAGCAGGATAGCCTAAATGTTTTCTGAAGGTAGCATCCCTGTTTTTATTGGTCATATCTCCTACCTTCAGTTTGATATACCCTGCTTCCTCGCTATGTTGTATGTTCAGAGACACTGTTTTATTCAATAATATTGTTAGGTTCCACTTGTGGGAACCTTATTCAGAAGAAGAAAGCCCTGTGGCTTAGGAGCTAGCGCTCTGACAAAAATGAAACTCCTTTATCACCTGGGGAGCGTCTCAGGGCATCTTTTTTTTTTTTTTTTTTTTTTTTTTTTTGAGGGAATCACGACAACCACAATCACAATTCATAATCTTTTTATGCAAAATGCAATGATCACAGTAAAACACATTACAATTTATTGTCTGTTGCCAAGTTCATTTCTCAGTTTCCTGTTTTCTTGAAGCCATTTCAGGGGAAAAAGGTTGCCGGATCTCAGATGCATGTGTAAATGTAAAAATATACCTGATAACGTCAGTCTAACAGACAATGGTAACAAGCTATGCATTTTCAGATTGGCAGAAAGACAAACATTTTTAGGAGAAGCAATTGTCACGCTTACCGGAACAGATGGTGTGCTTGACCCATTCAAACAAAATTGGGTTTAATACAGTGAAGCCCTTAAATCTGGAAGCAAATCTGCAAACAAAGAGTCTGCATTTGAAACATTTTGCTAACAGATTGAGGTCAGTGTACAATAACCGAAAGTGTGAAAGTAAGAAATGCTAACGTCATTTCTGAATGTATACGAAGTGGAGCAAACAGAAGTTAAAAGGAAATTTGCCTCCAGTAATTATTAGAAACCACCTAGTGGGAAACTGCACATAAAGCTACTATAAATTTTGACAGAGAAGTTGAAAATGGGATAGGTTGCATGGAGATGATCAATGGTTTGAAAATGGGAGATGCCTTAAAAGGTGATGAAAAGATGCCTTAAAAGATGAAAACCAGTTTATTATTTATATTGCAGTTTATAGGTTCCTTATAATGAGAAAACATTAAGTATTGAGTGGTGTTTTAATTTAATGGAAGAAGACATAACAAAAAGCAACGGGGAGAAATTAGAGCCGCAGTAATTTAAATCAGAAATGGAGGACAAAGGTCTGATGCTGAAAGTGGTCTGCATTTATTGATTACTTCAGATCAAAACCTGATCAAGTCACTTCTGCCTTTCTTTACAAGCCAGTTGTTCTACACCTGTCTCAATTTCTTTCTTTCATTTGGGCCATTTCCAATTTGGTTTTCTTATTTGCGAAGTGTAGTGCCAGATTTAGAACTCAACAGTGCTGAATGGAAGGAATTACATCCCTGTTTCATCTTACAGACACTCTTTTTATATGTACCAGGACTGTATTTTCTATTTACCAAATAGCAAAGTATTGTCCACTGCAATTTAAGCTTTGCATATCTGTCTTTCTTAATGTGTTTTCCAGCTGAATTTCTGCATTTCCATTTGGTCTTTGGAATAATACTTCTTGGAAGATGACCTGGTTTTCTTTTCTGATTAACTGGCATTTATTCTACTTTTAATTTGACGGTATTATTTTGCACAGTGTAAAAGTATAATTAGACATCAAATGAGAATATAGCAGAGATTGTAAACACCTATAAGTCAGTGAACAGCCTTACTGGTCCCAGCACCAACATACTCCAAACCCACAGGACTTCAGTTACTTTTCTTCAGGACTATGTTTTCTGCCTGAAGTTGTTTATTTTTTCAATATTTAAGCACCAGTTCGGTACACCAGTTGATGTTCAGGATGCAAGTTCATTACTGCATTACTGGGCAGGAGTGGCAGTAGTAGAGACTTGTTTTGCTGAACAGTCGCCAAATAAAATAGTTTAGTAAAACTTTTGTTGTATTTCTTCTTCGACAGCCTGTCAGCAGGAAGTGAGAAAGCTAGAAGTCTTTTCAGGTCAAAACAAAACCCGCTTCCCACCTCAGTGACAGGGTTCCCATTACCTGCGTTGTGGTTTTGGGGATGACTTTTCAGTCGTGTACATTGGGGAAGCTACTGGTGTCCTCAGTTATTTCCACAAGAGGCCTGCGTCAGCCTTTGTGGAAGCAAAATAAAGTGAGTACAAGGCAACCATAGGCCGGTAAGTTCTGTCAGCAGATGCAAGATTAGAGGACGTTTAAGGTTTTTATGACTGCTTTCATATAAACTTGTTAGACCTGAAGACACAGCAAGTTAAAAAAGAGGTAAGTGTCCCAAAAGCGTCCTGTTTTGTCTGGACTTCTGCAAAGGAGTAGCTGCTATCTTGATAAAGACCTTGCATCATCCTGTCTGTCATTGAGATCATCCTACCTGAAGAGTTTAGGGATGGTGGTAGCAACAGCCAAACTTAATGTCCCTCAAAAGTCACAAGAAGTTGGCATCATGGTCTCCCATAAGCAAGGAGAAGGCATCGTTGTGGTAAGGAGCATCAGGGCAGGAAGGTAAGGGGACCCTTGCAAGAACAGTTAGGCAAACTTGTTGAAAGTGATAAATCATATTTATCATATAAACCATATATATTGCATAAACCACAGGTCTGTGGGTCAGCAATTGGAGAGACTGGGACTGTGCTATGTTTCCCTAGGGAGCTTCAATCCTCTGTGGGTGACTATAATTTGGTAGAGTTCTTCAAGCCCAACTGGCCTGCAAGTAGGATAAGAGATCTGGGAGATAGCTATCGTAGGGACCATAGGTCTGAGGGCTCCATGTAGGGATGGGAGATCCCCAAGTTGCCTCACAGAGGGCCCATTGGTCTAAGCCAACCACCAGCAAGAACAGATCTAAATACCAGCAGACCATGAACCTTGGGGACTTGTATGCCCAGGTGCCAGCAACCGAGGAGAGCAGGAGATCTGGAACCAGCTACGGATGGGCTGAATGTCCATGTAGACCTGTGTGTATACATCTGCACAGTCTTCAACCTTGATCTGAGAGAGGAGAGGAACAGGATGGAGCTTTTTGTACCATTCATGTTTGCGTGAGTGCTGGAGCTGGTAAGGCACTGCTCTCTGTTGACCTGTGTGGTCAGCCCTGTGTGTGTGTTGTGTGTGTTTTGGTGTGCCTTGGAAGCACGTACTCAACCTTGCTACTGCCTGAACCTCGGGGCATGGAGCTGCAGTGCCCTCACATTTGCTGAGCCACTGGACTCAGCTATCTCTGACAGACATCTCCTAAACGACTCTTTTATCATTGTAGAAAGAAATCTTGGCGTCGGTGGAGTCAGTAGCAAAATGCTGTGTTAATTTTCCTCCAAATCTCGCTCATTTTCAAATAAACATTAGATACTAACCCTATATTCTTATGTTCGTATTATCTAAAGGTATTAGGAATTTCACTTAATTACCAAGAAGTTAGGTCATCAAATCCATTACAAATGTAATGCCAATTTCCCCTTAACTGTCTGTCTGGTAGTTAAGCTGGTTCTCACTGTCAATTTTCTTGCTTCTGACAGCAGGTAGATGCAAAACAGATTTTTTCATTCTGTTTTCTGGAGATAACTTTACAGTAACAGTAGAAAATCAATCAGTCTCCTGTCATGATTTTTTATGGTCTTGCAAATACTTTAAGCCATTCCAGAACTCCTCCCACAGGATATAGACATGTGGCCACTTGAGCAACTCAAACAGTTTATTTGAAGCAGAGAAATTGATTGGATTTGGATTTCACATCTTGAAGAAGACAATTTAGTTTCTGTCTGTTTCTGGACTAATAAATTTATCCTATGCCTGAATTCGTCCTATGCCTCAATAATACCTTTAATTGGAGAAGTTGACACCAATGACCAAAGACTACTTATAGTCACAGAAGATCAATACAGCAAGTCGTTTTGCTGTAACAAAATGGTTTACTGTGGTTAAGTAGCTTTATCTTGACTGTTTTGCTTTTTAATGTTTTTCTTCTCAAATTGACCAAGATCCTAGCAATCCTTAAAACTCTAATTGCATTATCTGAGTCCTGCCCTGCTTTGTTCACTGCTACTTGCCCTGTAGTTTTTTTGAATACTCTACTGCCATAAACTAAAATAAGAATAGCAAATATGTTAATAGTAAAAAATTAGTAGTGCTAGCCTTTTTTGTTGTTTGTTTGCTTTTGTTGTTGTTTGTTTTTGTCGGAAAAGAAACCTTGCCCTTTTCTTGGTATTGAGAAAGATACAAAGTAAAATTGTTATCAGCTCCCTCTTATGGGAGCTCAAGAAAGAAGTGAAAGAGCAGCAGAAAGTTGTTTTTCAAGAAATTTGTGAAACAACTAACTAGTTCAATGCAAGTTAAACTCAATGAACATTTAAAACAGGCTTGGGGAAGAACTGAATGAATAGGGCTTTTTAAACTGAAGAAGGAAGGACTGAGGGAAAATGAAGTAACAGTTTTAAGAATGAAATTTTATTGTAAAGAGGAAGGGGATTTATTTGTTTGTTCTGTGTGATCAGGAGAAAATTTGAAATAAAGGAGATGATTTTGCTTTGGCAGTAGGGAAAAATACTCTGAGTACTAATAAGGAAGTTGGGTATAGATTGCCTGGTGAAGTTGTACAGTTTCTATCATTAGAGATTGTATATCAGAATAAAATAATTTCTGTTGATCCTAGTTCAGCTGATGATAATCAAACAGATGTCAAACTGATAGTCAAACAGATGACCTTTTGAGTTTTGTTCCATTTCTAGGACTCCGTCATTAGTTC